CCTTATAACTGCTAAACCGACGCGGGGAATGTCGGCTCTCATGGGGCACCAGCACGGTGTCTGCGGACAGCCGCTCTGGGCACGGAGCTGGACGAGCCTGGGCAGACAGCGCCGGCTGGGAGGGAACGACACATCGCACGCAACCGTATGGAGTGTTCGTCAGCACCCGTAATACAATACCGCCAGTTTCTAATAAAGCTCTGATTAAGTAATCTATTTGTTCTGAAGACGTGCGGCCGGCTATCTAAACTAACAGACTAGTGACAGGCAGTTGCTACAGCACCCACAGGCTAGCTGTCTGTGTTCCCTAGCGTGGCCGTCACTGAAAAAAAAAAACGGAGAAGAGCTGGCAGCCGCGATCGCCAGCTTTCGGTCGTATCGTATTTGAGAGGGAATGCATATACGTCATGCGAGGGAGGATGCCGGGTTTGATCAACATCACAGGCAGACGTATGCTCTTTACGCCGTCCCACTACGCGGTTCCAACAGCCACTCATCCTAGCCCGGTGGAGACAGCGGCAGAGCCAGGCGACCTTTTGCGGTAACAGCAAACTCGCCAGAGGCCAGAGAAACTTCTAACGCTGACACGAGCCTTGCCAGAGCACCTCTGACGCTGACACGAGCCCCGCCAGGGCACCTCTGACGCTGACACGAGCCCCGCCAGAGCACCTCTGACGCTGACACGAGCCCCGCCAGAGCACCTCTGACGGTGACACGAGCCCCGCCAGGGCACCTCTGACGGTGACACGAGCCTTGCCAGAGCACCTCTGACGGTGACACGAGCCCCGCCAGGGCACCTCTGACGGTGACACGAGCCCCGCCGGGCACCTCTGACGGTGACACGAGCCCCGCCAGGGCACCTCTGACGGTGACACGAGCCCCGCCAGAGCACCTCTTACGGTGACACGAGCCCCGCCGGGCACCTCTGCCGCTGACACGAGCCCCGCCGGGCACCTCTGACGGTGACACAAGCCCCGCCAGGGCACCTCTGCCGCTGACACGAGCCCCGCCAGGGCACCTCTGACGGTGACACGAGCCCCGCCAGGGCACCTCTGACGGTGACACGAGCCCCGCCAGGGCACCTCTGACGGTGACACGAGCCCCGCCAGAGCACCTCTGACGGTGACACGAGCCCCGCCAGGGCACCTCTGACGGTGACACGAGCCCCGCCGGACACCTCTGACGGTGACACGAGCCCCGCCAGGGCTCCTCTGCCGCTGACACGAGCTCCGCCAGAGCACCTCTGACGGTGACACGAGCCCCGCCAGGGCACCTCTGACGGTGACACGAGCCCCGCCAGGGCACCTCTGCCGCTGACACGAGCCCCGCCAGGGCACCTCTGACGGTGACACGAGCCCCGCCAGGGCACCTCTGACGGTGACACGAGCCCCGCCGGGCACCTCTGACGGTGACACGAGCCCCGCCAGGGCACCTCTGCCGCTGACACGAGCCCCGCCGGGCACCTCTGACAGTGACACGAGCCCCGCCGGGCACCTCTGCCGCTGACACGAGCCCCGCCGGGCACCTCTGACGGTGACACGAGCCCCGCCGGGCACCTCTGCCGCTGACACGAGCCCCGCCGGGCACCTCTGACGGTGACACGAGCCCCGCCAGCGCACCTCTGACAGTGACACCAGCCCCGCCAGCGCACCTCTGAGCTGCCAGGCCGCGGGCTCGCGAGACACTCTCTAACCACACCTTTAGCGCTGACCTGATCAAAGCGAAGGGAATGTGAGCGCCTCGCGGACGAGTGGCAATACAGCGGAGGCGGCACCGGGACCAGAGGCGCGCCACAGAGGCGCATGCGCTGTTTGCCGGGTGAACGAGTCGGACCTACTGGCACCTATTGGCATATTGTCACTACAGTGAATAAGTCAAAAGTATTTCGATGTAACTACACTACACTGTCACGGCTTCACATGCTCACAAACGCTTGCAATGCATCTGTTCAGTGCGCACTAGTTTAAAATCACCATAATACGTCTCCTTCCGACATCATCATCCGACTTCCAATATCAGGGAGGAGAGAGCTGCCAACTTTTTTTTGTCAATGTGCAAGAACAGCCTTAAATGTAAGTGTAATCCAGATTTAAAGGTCCATACCTACCACGGACAGAACCGAACTCAGTCCTTGGAAAGCACCTCCTACAACGTCCCAAAGTAATTCAAATAATCGCACCCATTGGCCGACTCCACGACCAGCTTCCGTGGGTACGACGCAAAACTACCGCACCACCCCCAACCTAATTAACGCAATCCCCCCCCTCCCCATCCTACCGCGGGGTCAGGATCAGTACGTCATACAGCACGCTCTCACTGCGGCGCTGGGGGCGCTCCCACGCATGCGCAAAGTCCGGATCAACAATATTGAGCAGACGTGAACACGTCCCTTTGTAACGCTCGCCGGTGTCCGGGCGGCGGCGGCCGGTTTGTTCTGCCGCGGTTTGGCGGCGTCCGCCAGGGTCAACAAGCGACCTCACGCTCGCCCGGCGTCGGACTGCAGCAGGCGTGGACCCGACCTTGCGGAGTGCCCAGATGGCCCATCGAGGGCCGCTGCATCCAGACACGTCACGTGCGGCCGAGGTCCGGCCGGCGGCGAGCCCTCCGGGCGTCACGGGATACGAGCGACAGGAACACGAGACGGACACCATCAGGTGTCGACCGCGAGCGGAGGGGTGTTGTCGAGCTGACGCGTACCTGAGTTCGGCTGTTTGCCATGATACGGGCTTCCGGTTGTGCGTGATGGCTCTCGAGAGAACACGTTATTCGCGCACGCACAATGCAGATCGCGGAATCACCGGGAGGCACCCCCCTGAATACGTGTTGAGCTTGTTCGCCGTCAGACCCACAGAACAGTCATCAACGACAGGCGGCAGGATCTGCAGACAACACATGTCTAGTCAACTGGCTCACCACCAGACGAACACGTGGGAAACTCAGAGGGTCCAGCCCGTGATGAGTCAAAGTACCCGGCTCGTGCACTGTAAGACGATCATGGAACACAGTCGCACACGTCACTTCCCATCACCTGACTGGAATCTGTTTTCATCTCGGTGCACAGCAGGGCACCGCACGCATTCAAATCACACGCATATCACTGGGGCCTGACTAAGTTCTATCACACGCAGTTGCACGCGCCGACACAGGCAAGGGGACTCCCGGCTGACTGACGGCGTTACGCAAAACCGGAACCACCCCCAGTCGCGCCCAACACCAACGCATCCAAGTCATTTAAAACGCATTCCGTAACAGCGGACTACAAGTAACTCGCAAAGGCCTGCCGATGGGACGGCCGCGGCGAACAAGTGAACTAGCTAGAAACTGCAAAGAGTGGACTGTAACGGGCGCTGCGGCCGTCCTCAAGCGACTGATAACGGCCGGGGCGTGAGGAAAGAGAGTGCAAGAGGCCGCATGGACAGAGGCGGGTCTGCGCAGACGCTAGTCTGACCTAGACAGAGGCGGGTCTGCACCGGCGCTGACCCGGACAGAGGCGGATCTGCGCAGGCGCTAGTCCGGCCCAGACAGAGGCGGGTCTGCACCAGCGCTGACTCGGGCAGAGGCGGGTCTACGCCGGCGCTGACCTAGACAGAGGCCGGCTGCACCAGCGCTGACCAAGACAGAGGCGGGTCTGCACCAGCGCTGACCCAGACAGAGGCGGGTCTGCGCAGGCGCTAGTCTGACCCAGACAAAGGAGGGTCTGCACCGGCGCTGACCCAGACAGAGGCGGGTCTGCACCGGCGCTGACCCGGACAGAGGCGGGTCTGCGCAGGCGCTAGTCTGGCCCAGACAGAGGCCGGTCTGCACCAGCGCTGACCCGGGCAGAGGCGGGTCTACGTCAGCGCTGACCCAGACAGAGGCCGGCTGCACCAGCGCTGACCAAGACAGAGGCGGGTCTGCAGCGGCGCTGACCAAGAGAGAGAGGCGGGTCTGCACCGGCGCTAACCCAGACAGAGGCGGGTCTGCACCGGCGCTGACCAAGACAGAGGCGGGTCTGTGCAGGCGCTAGTCTGACCCAGACAGAGGCGGGTCTGCGCAGGCGTTGACTCAGCCCGCGCCCGCGTCACCCCAGACACCCCCGACTGGGTCCAGGCGGGCTGTCCGGCTCACCGAACGGCCAGTGTAGCCCCGGGCCACCTCGGGGAGCTCCGAACACGGCCCTCTGCCTAATCTCCTCGCACAGACCGGATCTATAAAGCTGACTACTTAAATGCCCTGCTTAATAGCAACAATAATTTCTAACGGTTCGGGTCACCAGTCTGTCGCTTAATCAGCGCCGTGTAAACCAACGACAGGGCCTGCTGATGGGCCACCCTGCCCATTCCGTCTGCATACCCTGCCACAACCAAATGGCAAAGATGAGAACGGAGCCGGGCGTCCATCTGAAAGACCCACCGCTGGTTCACCTGCTGGCGCCGGGTCTGCTGCTGGTTCAGCTGGTTCAGCTGCGGGCGCCGGGTCTGCTGCTTATTCAGCTGGTTCAGCTGTGGGCGCCGAGTCTGCTGCTGGTTCAGCTGGATCAGCTGCGGATTGGCCAGCGCGGCGCGGCAGCACTCTACTGCTGGACCAGCTCCGGGTTGGCCAGCGCGGCGCGGCAGTGCCCTACTGCTGGATCAGCTCCGGGTTGGCCAGCGCGGCGCGGCAGTACTCTACTGCTGGATCAGCTCCGGGTTGGCCAGCGCGGCGCGGCAGCACTCTACTGCTGGATCAGCTCCGGGTTGGCCAGCGCGGCGCGGCAGTACTCTACTGCTGGATCAGCTCCGGGTTGGCCAGCGCGGCGCGGCAGCACTCTACTGCTGGATCAGCTCCGGGTTGGCCCAGCGCGGCGCGGCAGCACTCTACTGCTGGATCAGCTCCGGGTTGGCCAGCGCGGCGCGGCAGCTACTTACTGCTGGATCAGCTCCGGGTTGGCCAGCGCGGCGCGGCAGTACTCTACTGCTGGATCAGCTCCGGGTTGGCCCCGCGCGCGGCAGCACTCTACTGCTGGATCAGCTCCGGTTGGCCAGCGCGGCGCGGCAGTACTCTACTGCTGGATCAGCTCCGGGTTGGCCAGCGCGGCGCGGCAGTACTCCGCGAATATGCGATCGATGTAGTTCTGTCCGAACGGCAGCATGCCCTCCATGAAGCCGATATGGCCGCCGTGCGACGTCAGCACGATGGCCACGTGCGACGTCTTCTGCACGGCCTCCAGGGGTACTCCTGCGGAGCGGGCACGGCTGTGACAGGCGGCCAGCAGCTCCTCTGGAAGGACACGACGCACCGGCGCCAACCCGACAGCACGCGAACAGAGCCTGCCAACCGTCACATCATGGAGATTCTCTCAAGCGCCCAATGACAGCCCGGAGCGAGGTCGCCATGTTCCAAAGCCATCCCATGATGTATGATGCAGCCGTGCCAAGAACGGAGACGCCACACACGCACACGCACACGCACACGTACACGCACGCACACACGCACACACGCGCACACACCCACACCCACACCCACACCCACACACACAATCTCCAATCTGCCACCATTCACTGTTATCACACCATATTGGAACCCCCTGGTTCATTGTGACGCTGGTAGCGACGACGAACTGTGGTGCGGACATGATGCTGTCTCAATTAAAAGCTGGTCTTGATTGACAAAGCTGACATACATGCATAAAAATATCCATTTCGCATGTAAACTAATATCGACTCTGTTAGATGCGGCGCCTATTTCCGCACAGGTGACGCCAAACCAACGGCATTAATGTCGACGCACGCCGACCCGCGTCACCAAAGCCAATGGAAGGACGGCTCCGTCAACACCCCAGCACGGAACCATTCCCCAGGCGCTGCGCGTCCGCGCCCGACCTCGCGCGGCACCGTCCGGCCGCTGCGCCGTCCGAGCCCGCCGCCACTGACCGGAGCACGGGATGAAGGGGTCGTCGGCGGCGTTGAGCCCGAGCAGCGGCACCTTGATGCGGTGCAGCTTGTCGGTCAGCGTCGCCGCCGAGTAGTAGTCCTCCACGTCGCGGAAGCCGAACTGCTTCACCACGAACGACGCGTCGAACTCGCGGATCGTGCGCGACTGGCCGACGGGGGCGGGGGGTCAGAGGTCCGTCAGCGCGTTCGGGCGTGGCGGGAGTGCGCGACCCACCAGCGCGAGGCCGGGCAAACGTCTGGCGCTAACAGAGGCTGTGGTGGCGCTGCGATGAGCCCAGGGCTGCACAAAGCTTCAGGTGACAGGTCAGCCTGTGTGATCCTCTTATCACGGAGCTCAGACGTGAGACGGCGCACTTGCCGAACTCCCGCCCGCACCGCGGCGATGGCAGCGTTCAACGCATACTGCACGACGCCGAGGCACCCCCAACACACTTCAGAATGATGCACGACGTGAACCATGTCATCGCACCTTAAAATATTTCCTGTGTATCCCAGGCTCACCTTCACCACCTCCTGGAAATCCCACGGTACTCCAGCAGTGTTGATGACTTTCTCATGCCTGAAACGAAGGGACGCAGCGTACCTTGACAAAGGTCCGGTTACAACCTACAGCAACCAGTGAAATGTCACCATGCGGATCATGGCCCAGATCAATGCCTTTTTATGGCGGTATTCCAACAACGGCAGTGTTTGTTTCATGCAGTCATTTCTGGATCTGATCAGACGCACAACACATAAACTGTACAGCGCAATCCGTCGAGGCAGCGTACATGTTAGCGGGACCGCGGAGCTATGAGTCATCGGGAGGTTCAAAGGCCGGGCGAAACATCTCGCTGACTTTGGTACTTTGTGTGACATTCGCCATGGCCTTGTTTGACAAGAGCGACCGGAGACCACCGGCTTCGTCGCGTATTTACGCCTCCACCGGTTTTGCCAGACCTCAGAATCGCCGGCACATCAGCAGCTTGGCTAGCTCGACACAAACTTATCCACATCGCGCACCAAACATCGCACAACCCACATCGTTGAGCATGACAGCTCTCCCCAACTGAAAAAAATCCAGCACGGTTTAACCAATGACCGTGGACCAGCGAGATCTTCCAGCCGCCATCGCGGACCAGCACAGTTTAACCAGCCACCACAAACCAGCACGGTTTAATCCGCCACCGTGAACCAGTACGGTTTACCAGTCACCACGAACCAGCACGGTTTAACCCGGCACACAAACCTCTCAGGAGATGACGGACAGGGCGGACTCACAGTTTGACCGAGTCCACCAGGCACTCGGCCAGGTGCTTGTTGAGCATCAGATTGATGACGGGCGTCTCCAGACTGGCGGTGCCGACGAACACGTTCCAGGGCACCGAGATGATCATGGCGGCCAGCACCTTGTCGACGGCCGCAGCCGACTGCTGCTGCAGGTAGTTGCCCACGATCATCCTGGCGAGCGTCAGCTGTTAGACGCGATGACCCCACAGTCAGCTCAACGCGGTGATGTGGAGGCTACGCGGGATAGTTGTCCCCTAGGATCAGCCTGCTTGGCGATGACAATACTGCTGGCAAGAAGCGCGGTCGGCAGCCTGACAAGCTGACATCTCGCTGAGATCTTCAGTCGCAGTGAGCCGAGTGTGTGTGGGACACACGCGGCTGGCTCCAAACAAGCCGCCTAATAAACCGTCGTTACGTAACAGCGCGATGCCACGTTTTAATTTCTCCGCGAAGTTCCTACGTGACATAACTACGCACACGGCACACACGGCGGACGGGTTGTAAACTTTTATAAACTTATCACTCCATAATATATACATACATATATATATATATATATATATATATATATTTATATATTTATATATTTATATATCAAGTCCTTAACATTTACTTTAACCTTATTGGGTTGGTAATTGGGGGGGGGGGGGGCGGGGAACGGTTACCCTCCGAGGGAGATGCCGGTGAGCACAATCCTGGCGCGTGGGTGCGCGCTGTGCAGGCGGTCGATCACGTATCCCAGGTCATCGCTGTTGGCCGCGCAGTACGTCCGCGGCGTCTGCACACACAGCGGCGGCGTAGAGGGAAGGCGTTAGCGGCGGCGGCGGAGACGAGGAGGGGTTAGCGGCACTCGGCCCGCCCTGCCAGTCAGGCGAGGTCGGAGCGGCCCGGGCAACACACGCGGCGGGCGGCGGCGGGGGGGGGAGGGGGGGGGGGCCCAGCGGCGCTCGGTCCCCTCCGTCATCAGGCGAGGTCGGAGCGGCCCGAACAGCGCATACCTCGGGCGACACTAGCTGATAACACGGCACTGAAACAACAGGGCCAGCCGAAAAAAACCACACCGTGGGTTCGCCGCGGACGCACGGCACCAAACACAGCAAAGCATGTTAAGCATGACAAGTCAACTGACATTTACGAGGTGTGAACGTCTGTTCAAATGGAGATACGAAATATACTCCGGCATATATATATATATATATATATATATATATATATATATATATATATATGTATGCCTGTATTTATTAAAAAATACAGCAGATAATAAGTCATACTCGTCTATTTAAGTCCACAGTGCACTGGCCCCTAAGGCTGTCGTTAGTGAGCGGGTCCCGACAACTTATAAGTCACAACAGCCGGCCGAAATATACTACTTCTGTACCGGGCGCAGACAGCCCGTATCTAACCAATTTTCATCACTGCGCCACCGGAGGAGACCGCCACTTGGTGCAAGGATCAAATGGGACTATCGGGTTAGTAAAACGTGTCATATGACGCACGTGCATTCGGCGCACCATCATCAGCTGTTTCAGATACGAGAAAGCGTCCGTCGTTCGGCCACCGTATGTGGCGTCGTGGCCTCGAAAGGACTATCTTAGTGATACGTGTATGACACAACCACCTAGGCAAGCAAAGGCCGAGTAACACACGCGAGGCGCGAGTCATTCAGCCATGTTGACCTTTGGCCGGAATCTTGAGAATCCGATGGTTCTGGGTTCGGGGCGTGCATAGTCAGCCCAGACTCAAATCTGAATCACGTTTGTCACGCGATGTCACGTTTGTACGGGCGCTCTGCCGGTTTCAAAGTGCACCAATGGCGCTGGCTTCCAGGAGCAGCACTGGGTCCATAATTTGACGTTTAATTAAACACTCCGCACCGGCCTAGTTTCAGCCACGGCTGAATCAGTCCCAGACGGACAAGACGGGCCAACGCCGTGCAGCCGACCGGCGGCAGTCACCCACAAGGCGAGAATTCCCGACAAAGGCGAATGTGTGATTCGAATGGAAGACGTCCGAAAACACGCAAACCGGTTTCGTGAGTTTAAGCGGATTACTTCACATCGATACGCAGTTAGGAACTACTCCGGTGAACACAGACCCTCAGTCTGTCGCGACTCAACAACAACACGGAGCGAGCGGGCGGGTGCGGTGGGGGTCGGCCGGGCGGCGCCGATGCGGTACCTTCAGCTGGACGCCGCCGCGTCCCCGCTGGTTCAGCACCACACAGCTGGCTCCGATGCGCTCCGACACCAGGATCAGGCTGCGGATGTAGTCCGACTGACTGCTGCCTGCGGAGCGGTGCACAGAAGACACGCTCAGAGAACGGACCACACTGACTGTGGAGCAGCACACCGAAGACACGCTCAGAGAACGGACCACACTAACTGTGGAGCAGCACACCGCAGACAGGCTCAGAGAACGGGCCACAATGACCCACTGTCTGTGGGGCAGCATACCGAAAACACACTCAGAGAACGGGCCACAATGACTGTGGAGCAGCACACCGAAGATACGCTCAGAGAATGGTCCACACCGACTCACCACCCGTGGAGTAGCATACCGACAGCATCCTCAGAACGAAACCAAGAACGAAACGACAGAACGACAGAACGAAACCAAGCCCGGCACCCTGACCGTTACCTGTCCAACAGCACACAAAAAGCGCACCCAGAGAGCAGGGCCACACTTGTCGGGCCTCTGTCAGAGGTCGGGGCCGGAATGCTCGATGGACAGGTGACAGAACAATTACCGCGACATGTGGCCCGTTCGGCCGGTGGGACGGAAGTGGCAGATGTCAGACACGGCACCGCGCTGCAGCAGCGCCCGGCCCACACCGCCCGACCACCGGCCTCCCGCAGCCGGTCATCACACCGTCCCAATCCCCGCGGCCGGTCATCACACCGCCACACAGGTGGTCATCACACTGCCCCACAGGCAGTCATCACACTGCCACACAGGTGGTCATCACACCGCCACACAGGCGGTCATCACAATGCCACACACGCCGGTCATCACACGGCCACACAGGCCTGTCATCACACTGCCACACAGTCCGGTCATCACACCGCCACACCGGCGGTCATCACACTGCACACAGGCGGTCATCACACTGCCAAACAGGCGGTCATCACACCGCCACACAGGCGGTCACCACACCACCACACAGGTGGTCATCACACCGCCACACACGCCGGTCATCACACGGCCACACAGGCCTGTCATCACACTGCCACACAGTCCGGTCATCACACCGCCACACCGGCGGTCATCACACTGCCACACAGGCGGTTATCACACTGCCAAACAGGCGGTCATCACACCGCCACACAGGCGGTCACCACACCACCACACAGGTGGTCATCACACCGCCACACAGGCGGTCATCACACTGCCACACAGGCCGGTTATCACATCGCCACACAGCTGGTCATCACACCACCACACAGCTGGTCATCACACCACCACACAGCTGGTCATCACATCGCCACACAGCTGGTCATCACACCACCACACAGCTGGTCATCACACCGCCACACAGGCGGTCATCACACCACCACACTGTCCACCTCGGACTGAGACCGCTCTTCACAAGAGACGCACCGGGCACGGTGACCCGGCGGCAGACGAGCAACGCCCCCGCCGCCACGACCGGGCCGCCCGCGGGCCGCTGCCGGCTCGCCCACCTGTCAGTCCGGGCACCAGCAACACGATCGGGTGGGCGTCCTCGCGGCCCCGGGTCGCCCTGAAGGCGCTCCGGTGCCAGTCCAGCGCCACGACGCCGCCGTCCGGCAGGTCCACCAGCTCCCTGGCGGCGACGGCCGGCCGGTCAGCGAGAGGCCGGCGGCGGGAAGTGTTGGAAGAAGTCAGCAGCATCGTGGTCCGCACGGGCATATCTGAGCATGAGTGTCTTCACATTGTAGCAATGATACGTAGTCACAAATCATACGGGAGATAATGGGCATACAAGCAATTTTGCGTCGCTTTGGTTCTCACTGAAGATTGGTTGTCAGGTGTCAATGTCCCAGACACATTCAGAACACACAGTTACCAAGTTTCGTGTCAGATCTGGCATACAAGCAATCGCGGACACTTATCGCAGACCCGCAAGCACAACTGTCCAGACATGTTGCTGCACACCAATTCTCGCAGTCCACAAAACTGTGAGTCCTGCACTGCTTAAAAACAAAAATGGGTGTCATCCACGCCAACTGGCTGCCACCTGCCAGCCCGGCGTCATTCCTGCCGGTGTACGTCGACCCCTTGCCGCGGTCTCCGGCCTCCGCGACCCCCCAAACGCTGCGTCCCAGGCCGCTCACCTCTCATAGTCGATGACCGGCAGCTGACTGCGGAACAGGCTGCCCAGGATGGTCTGCAGGCGCGCCTCCAGACACCAGGGCGTCGGCCAGTACTTCTCCTGCAGGATGGACAGGTGCGACTCCAGGAAGCGGCCGAACTTGCTGTCCGCCTTTACCGCCGTCACCGGCACCTGGGGCAGCGCAGAGGCCAGCTGGCATGTAGGGCCAGGCTGCTGTGCAGGGCTCAGTGAGACACTGGACCCATGGGTGGGTCTTAGAGCATGGGCTGCTTTGATGATTTTTGGGTATTCAGAATAAATTGTATCATGTGTTACATAAGTTGCAGGAATGTCGAGATACTAGTATACATATGCATGCATGCAACTGAAAAATATATACATACATGCATGCATGCAAATGCAAAATATATACATACATGCATGCATAATTCAATAGCTTTCAATGTCACATCCAATGAAATGATGGGAGTTGAACATGCAAATTTTCCAATTATTACAAGACACATGAAGGTGCTAAATATCTATTGGTTTACTTCATGATGCATTCATTCCTATTATCATCAGCACCACAACAATAACCTCAACTATGGGAAGGAACTTAAGCACAGCTGGTAAAAAGCTTTGAATCTACTATTTTTACAGCAATGGTTTATCATTCCGACGCAGAATGACTTGATCCTCACCAATAGACCATCAATGCCATATATATATATATATATATATATATATATATATATATATATATATATATATATATATATATATATATATACACATATATATATATATATATATATATATATATATATATATATATATATATATATATATATATATATCAGAAATATTAAATTCATTACATTAGATCAGCCCCAAATTACAAAATTTTCCTGCGACCCTTTAACCCTTACTGAGACCCATGAAGATAACACTGAAGTCCATGGCAGGCAGTTACCATTCTTGTGCAGTATGGATGATACTTCCTGTATTTCATACTACATTTGTAACCAATAATGCCCAAATCATTTAATGAAAAGTATTTTCATGAGCATTTATGCAATGTCTGCAGCCAGAAATCCATGGTCCCTGATCGCCATTCTCACATTATCTTCTAGATTACATCAAAAGCACTGAATAATCCCTGAAAACCAATATCAAAACTTGTGAAAAACAGCACAATATAATTGTTTTCCAACCACCATACATTAAATAATTACTAGGCAGTCATGCCATATGACTAGCACTGTTGCCTTGATATTGTTGTCTAAAACCAGATAAGCACAGTTGCTGCTGTTTGCATGCATCTTTTTTAGGAGGATATGAACAATGATCTTCATCAATAGAGATCATCTTGGGGCAAAGCACCTTAAAAGATATGCTTTCTCCAACAAAATGTTGGACTGTCAGCTACATCCGATGACACTGTGTACATTCTGTATTACAGTTTTTGGCTCTTAGTTACAAATTGGTAATGATCACACGATACCTGAAAGCTGGATACTTCATAATTAGCTTAACACCATTGTACTTCATTGCTACTTATTAACACTTGTTTAACTGAATTTATCTGAGCAGGCTAAATTCCATGTTCATGCTCCTGGGACTATCGATCTCCATCAATATCACATACAACTGTAATCAGCAATGATCACCACATGACTCAACCAGGCAGGCAGCATGACTTGGTATAGAAAAGGTGTTGGGCCATGGATACCATCTGCCAGTAATCATATCAGCATACCACACATTCCAAGAGAATGTTGCATATTCTGGGGTGTATCTCTCTGCAAGTCATGGGCTCAAGCTACGCCTAAAAAAAAACTCTGAACACAGAACTGTAGCTTTTTTGCATGTGCAGTTTACTTAGCATATTTCCTAACACCATGAAGCACAATATGCTTTTAGAAAAATGATGCATGTGAACATACTCCCAACACTAATACATAGAAGGTATCAACACATGCCCTGGTGGCCAGTTGGATACCCTTCCTATGGGTGGGGGTCAATTTGACCTCCCTGAGATATCAGAAACTAAGTGAGCTAGAGACACCAAATTCACAGGGCGTGCTGACCTGTATGTGAACTCACTAGGTCAAAGTCTGAGGTTTCTTGGGCATGACCTTTGGGTCAAATAAGGTCAAACAAGGTCAAATTCCAGGCTGGTTCCCAAAGTGAATGCAAAACCTAGATAACTGTTTTAAGCAAAATTTAATATGCTCATTCAAGGTCAGTGACCTTGTTTGACCTTTTGAAGGTTATGGTGACTAAAATCATACAAGACTGCTTTAAGTTTTGCATTTGATAAGTCACAAAGATTATGCTAGACAGTATGTTTCTAAAAACAAAGTGTTGACCTGAGTCCTTTTAGGTCATTGACCTATTCTGACCTCTAAAAAGTCCATGGAAGATTATAATGCAGTTCCTGGTATCAATAAATGCAAAATGAGTACCAGAAACTAGAGTATTAAAAGAGGTTGGTTTTGACCCTGATATGACATTCATACCTGATATTATGTTAATGCAATTTGCTCATTCCATCTTTCTGTTGTCTAAGCAAGCATCTCAGATATATGGCTTCATCTAATGCTCTACTGTTGCATCAGATTGAATGATTCCCTAGAAATTGCCTTGCTGAAACCATGGCCTTACTTTGACCTGCAATAGATCAGCAGCCTTACAAGGTACACCTAAAATTTTAACATCAAACAATCTGCTATTTAATTTTCTACAACTATGCAAAATTTGGCACAGCTATGCTGGCCCATTTGGAAACCGTTCCTAAAAACCATCAAGGGGCAATTTGATGCCCCACCTGAGTGTGTGTTAAATTGTACCAAAATATAACATATTATCAAAATTGTCTGAATTGTGCACACTTGATTTAAGCCATAGCACTAAATTTCTGTTTTCTGCATACTAAACAACAAAAGAGCATGTTAAAACAACTTTGTGAATGTTCCATCCACAGCAGAAAAGACAATCAATAACAGAATTTGAGTAATTATGAATGAATGTTATGCAATGTCTTCAATGTAATGCCATCTTATTATGAAGAGTGATTCATCTAGCCCATGCATCCAGTTTTTTCTCATAATTCTGGATAGTGCTGCTATGAGGATTAATTGGGCTTTACAGCACAATCACTGCCCTAGTCATGCAGCACCCATTATTCTGCACCTGGGCAGTGCAAAAGCAAGTCTGAATGCCCAAATGTAAAAAAATATCAGGAAACTGTGCCCTCCTTTGATCACTGGCATCAAGGAATAAAGTGCATTCACAATCATGTAAAAATCCAAAATATGCATGCTCAACCCTCATGCATGCATGTCACAGTCACAGGCTACCTTAGACTAACAATCTAGGGACAATTCAAAAGTCGTGGTGCACACACAGTCCCGTGGGCATGCTTAGAGGCATCAGTGATTTACCTTCACACATTTGGAAAAATAGTAAGTGATAAATCCAGCAGCAGATAAAGCCACCCAAGCCCCACCAGGCACACCGAAAAAATAGAACATTGCTGAGGAATGCTAGCGAGGTTGGTGGCTTAGCGCTCAGACAGAAGAATAGCTGTGAATGCAGATAAAGGCTGGGAAGTAAATTATATCCCAAAACCAAAACTTCACTCCCACCCTACCCGCACAACGACCCCGGAGTACACGCCCCTGCGGAATGAACCACGATACGCTTGCCCAGAGTAATTAATGCTATGCTGGCATGACCGCACAAAAATCAATGTCACTATGGCGCTATATATGAATAAAACCTGTGCTTCTGTGGTCTGATCGCTCAGATGTACTTGCATCACTATAAAAATTGTTGCCCAATGAAAACTGACAAGTTGGACCTGAGAACCAATGGAATGCTAGCTTTAGCTGCTTTTTATTACTATTAAACAGGTGACGTAAGTGTTTATTTTTTAATAGGAGCCTCATGCAAGATTTTATTGAAACGCGAATCGTGGTTGAATCTTGTTTGGTAGTTTTAGGTTGGTTATCATGCGTTAATGTTCGTGCTGTGATAGATGATTAAAAATTAATGCGCTTCAATGCTAGTGAAATTGAGCTGTTGCTGTGGACACAGGAATGCTGTATATTTGCACAGCTAGGTACCGCTGGATCGCAAACAGTAACCAATGCATTCTCAGCACGCCGACAAAGATCCTATTCAACTTTATTTTGAGAACTACCCAAGGCAGGATGTTATAAGCAAAGTGAGCTGATGTGGAATGAAGTGATTGATATTTCAGTACCTGGCAGGTAATGAAATATTTGTCCTGTCTGTCTGTAGGGCTTAGATTGTGTGAGTGCCTGCCTTCCAATCCACCCACCTGATGTCCTAATGGCTGTCCCTGTGGCTTAGATTGTGAGTGTCTTGCTTCAAATCCACCCTTCATTCACCCCACCCAGTCAGGGTGTACTTTCCTACCTCATATTACAAAAGAGCATTGTACATCAATCATTGTTTTTAGGGCAGAACATATCATAATTAATCATAAAACAGACCATCTATACTCTTACCTTGGAACTTAACTAATTACAATACTGAACACCTGACCGCAGCAAACACACAGCAACCGTGACACCGGCTCCATTACTGCATGCGGTCACAACATTACTGCGTATCAAGCAGCATCAAGAACCATAAAATGTAGGGGGCCAAGGTAACAAGAATCCATGAAATTTGATCCTTGACATCAACAGGACTGGCAGCTAAATAAAAGCTCACTATATGGTACCTATATATGGCATGGAACATGGATGCCAATGGGATGCTGGGTTGAGGGGGATATAGGGTGGGGAGGTTAGGTTAGGTTAGGTTAGGTTAGGTTAGGTTAGGTTAGGTTAGGTTAGGTTAGGTTAGGTTAGGTTAGGTTAGGTCAGGTCAGGTCAGGTCAGGTCAGGTCAGGTCAGGTCAGGTCAGGTCAGGTCAGAGGTCAGGTCAGGTCAGGTTAGGCTATGTTCTGGACTATTCTGGCTTGTGCATTTCATAAACGTACCTAAATGCAATAAGAAACAATTTTCATTGCATTGTTATTGTTACCTTGGTCCCATACATTTTTTATATTCTTGGTAAGCAGAAATATTGTAATTACGCAACGGCAATGCAGAAAACCTGTTTTGAGATTATTTATGATATGTTCCCATTAAACAAGATGAATGGTGTACAATTATTTTGTCTAACCTTAGGTAGGAAAGTTCACCTACACCCCCCACCCACACGTCATGTTAGCTTGGTCTGCGGCAGCCACACTAAAGATCAGGTCATGTTGAGCAGGATTCACCATGCCAGGTATTCTTCAAGCTTTATTCACTTGCAGTGGAGATTTTTGTCCTTCTTAAAAAGGTGAAGTACTTGAAGAATATCTGTAGGGTTAAGTGCTCACACAACAAGAACTGCTTGAAGGGAATATTACAAATCTGAAGATATTGCAGCACATAACAGATATGATAAAGCAAGCTCACTTATAGATATTCACATTTTTTGGTGGAAGAGTATGCTCTATACAGCATAATTTCTGTGTGTAGTAAATATAGTTCTTGACAAGCCATTGTTTGATTAAGCTATCATACATTACATAATATTGATTGAGAGACAATTGATGACCATTATCTCTGGAAATGTGGCTCAGAATGCCAGATATGAATGACTCAACCATTGTGTCTTTGTTGCCCTTGATAATTGCATGGCTTATGAAATGGCGGGATTTCAATGACATTGTTATGATGTCATGAATGCCAAAAGCAACCTTGAAACACTCTCCCGCAACTTTGTGGCCGGCAAGCTCAGAAACCAGAGGGTTTTAGGCCTTGAAAAGGGTATGGTTGCTAGTTGCATCAAATGGTGTTCAGTGTGGCGTTTTCAGTTCAAAACCCCAATACGAATGTGGAACACTCTCTTTAGTGCGGGAGTCTTCTACAAGCTATCTAATATGAGCACTGATCCCACAACTCTATCCATTGAAAAGGTTCAGGCTTCGCCTTTAAAAAAGGCATTATAATTCAATTTAAGTGGTAAATGATCAGGCAGGATGTAGGCACAACCCATTTTGGTAGCATGCATTAAAAGACAGAGCAATGAAAATCCCTCCTGTCTCGAGTTTCCAGACAGGTCAGCCAAAAACTATCCTGTATGTTATGATGACAAGCTCGCGTCGGCACACTGGGGTCGGCACCGCGTCCGAGCTGGCTGACGCGTCCTGCCGTCGGTCTCGTCCGTGCTGGACGTCCCACCGTCGCCTGCGACCGTCACGAACACCGATCCGGAGTGTATCTGCCGACCCGTGCCTGCGGTCGCTCCCTGTCCCCTGTTCCTGTGTTAATCCTGCACCCCCGGGGATGGGGGGGGGGGGGGGCGGAGAGTGGGGAGTTTTCTGCCCCTGTCTTCTAACCCGCTCCTTCGGCGTTCTCAGCACGGCGCGCGGGCCCCCCGTCAGCGCGGTGATTGGTTGTTTGCTCAGTTCACTTGGAAGTGTAGTGTCCTGTTTGTTTACTTCCGAGTGGGGGAATTGAAGTGTAGCTATAGTCGTACAGTCTCAGATGGAGTTACGAGCAAAGCGGATGTACAGTCTCGGCCATGCGTATGCGTGGGGTATGCGGCGGTCTGGAATATGCCTTAGCGACAGTGGGCTTGTTGAAGGACGAGGGTGGCAACGGAACGTGACTGAACCCAGGAGTTGAAAATTCGCTTCCAATAAATTAACCCATGCTTTTGGAATCTCATCATGCATGCCACGCCATTGGAATGCCGGGTCATGGTGGCCACGGGCCAAATGGGTTAGCGGGATCAGTTGAGGTGACCAGTCAAAAGTGCATAGTCAGTTGTCAGTTATTGTCAGCAGTCAAACATTCAATCTTTCATGTCTGTACACCTGTATTCGATTTCATTTCTACTTTATGTTAAATATTTTTTTTACTTTATTACGTTGTATATGATGACGTGTTGCGATTTCATTGCACTTCCTACTTTATTACTCGGTTTGTTATGTGATGACATACTGCAATACTTGTCGGTAATGCAGCGGTCTGCTGCCGCAGGTCGGGTCGCTGGTGGCCGGGTTGGATGGTGACGAGTTCCGCGATGCTGTCCTCCGGCTGCTGTTCCACCTGTTCCTGTCGCCTTTCGCCCTGCGCTGTCCGCCGCCTCCGAGATACCGCTTTCGCATCATCGGCGATATCATTAAAAAGGTTGTCTGTGGCAGGAATGCACGGCAGATGTTGGACTAGGTGTATGAGTTCGGATATTTGTTGCTTTTGTTGTTTCATCGTTGGATATTATTCGAATGATTTGCTGGACTCGGAAGTGTGTCAAGGCCATACAGTACTATGTTGAGGACACTGAGATGAAAAGCTAAGAGCTGTCATGATGTCTAACATAATGCGAGAGATGCTAGCTTTTTTTACTCGTCTACTAGGAAGGTTAGACGTGCAGTGCTTTGGTGAAGCCCGTAAGCCCGCACCGCCGTGTACCTTGTACCTTGGTCGTGATAGTGTGACACCTGCGAGAACATGTCGGCCGCTTGCGCTTGCAGCTGGAGGCCAGCGGCCGGGAGGTACCGGAGCTGGCGTACCACATCCACGGCCAGCTCAGCTCGGCGGCCGACGCCGACCGCACCGACGGCCACGTGGTGTATCAGATGACCGAGACGGCGGTGGTGGCGCTCTGGGAGGACCGACGTCTGATGGCGGCCGACACTACGGGCCTGCGCACGTGGCAGGTGAGGGTGGCACCGGCCGACAGAGCGGCGCCGCGGCCGACACTACGGGCCTGCGCACGTGGCAGGTGAGGGTGGCACCGGCCGACAGACCGGCGCCGCGGCCGACACTACAGGTCTGCGCACGTGGCAGGTGAGGGTGGCACCGGCCGGCAGAGCGGCGCCGCGGCCGACACTACGGGTCTGCGCACGTGGCAGGTGAGGGTGGCACCGGCCGGCAGAGCGGCGCCGCGGCCGACACTACAGGCCTGCGCACGTGGCAGGTGAGGGTGGCACCGGCCGGCAGAGCGGCGCCGCGGCCGACACTACGGGCCTGCGCACGTGGCAGGTGAGGGTGGCACGGGCCGACAGAGCGGCGCCGCGGCCGACACTACAGGCCTGCGCACGTGGCAGGTGAGGGTGGCACCGGCCGGCAGAGCGGCGCCGCGGCCGACACTACAGGTCTGCGCACGTGGCAGGTGAGGGTGGTACGGGCCGACAGAGCGGCGCCGCGGCCAAACAGCCATCGGGACAGCGCGACCAGTGCTCGACGCTGTCGCAAGCAAGCTGTCGCCGGTGATTGCTTCAATAAGGCTCACATGTGTCTTATGTGTCGTGTTGTTAACTGGTTGGTGGTCAGTGAACTATCTCTTGGTATCATCGGCGACATGTTTAGCTTTTCTAACTGGCCACCAATTACCTGAGCCAAATGGCGCGCCCTCGGCTGCATCTCCACTTCCGGCTGGCCGGTGACGCCACTCCCGCACCGGCCGCGCCGTCATGACGCTCGGCGGCGTCCACAGGCGGGCAAAGCGCTGCTGGACTGGTACCTGCTGCGGCCGGAGGCGATCCAGGGCAGGCGGGTGCTCGAGCTGGGGGCCGGCCTCGGCCTGACCGGTCAGTGCCGGCGCCGCCGCGCGCCCGGGCACGCCGGTGCACCGCGCCGACGCGCGCGCTCGAGCACAGGGTTGCAGACGCTGACGCAGGCGTGCGATGTGCGCCGAGATACCAGAGCAGCGCACGTGTATGCTCGCAATTCAACACGTGTGTGCAGCCACGCACAAACGAACATGCATAGCAACGAGCAACGAGCATAGCAACGAGCATGCATAGCCACGCACAAACGAACAGTGATGCATGGGCACGAAGGTCGTGCTGTCGGCGGGAATCTGCGCGTCGGTAACCTGAATCAAGTGCTGGCAACTGCTGGACGACGTGATGTTTCTTACTCTTGCGTTCACCTGGTCGCCGTTCATGCTTGTGCACACGCACGCATCCCTGCAGTGGGGCGTGAGGGCGGCGCTAGCGGCGAGCGTGCCTGTCTCTCCCGACCACTGCCGCCACCTGACGCCCGCCGTCCGACCGTCGGCAGGTCTGGCGCTATGCAGGACGTGCTCACCGGCCTCCTACCACGTGACGGACGGCCATCCCCTGGTAGTGGAGGTCAGTGGAGTGGCGCGGTCACCGCAGGGGGCCAGGGTGGCACGCCTGGGCGCGGCGCCGACGCCTCCGGCGCTGCTACGTCCTGTACTGCACTGGCTGGATATTTATTAACTGCTTCCGGATACTGTCTCGATCACCACTCCTGATCACCACACCTGATCACCACACCTGATCACCACTCATGGATCTATGGTACTGAGCTTAGGTTTCGGTTATTTGTTATCGTTCTCGTTATCGTTATCGTTGTCGATCTATGCCGAGGTCAACGCGTTATGCATGATACATCTGAAGTATCTGTATCTTTTGTTCTCGTGATTGGGATAATTAGATCCGCTTGCAGAAAGTATTCCTAACAATTGAATAATGGACTCCAGAATTTCCAACCATCTTTCATGTTATCCTGGGGTGCATCTGCACCGAGGATCTTCGATTCCGAAGTCTTGCGCAGAGTAATTGCTAACTTTGTGCATAGCTTATGGTGCATTCATAATTTCAGATGCTGAAATACAACGTCCTGAAAAATCTCGAACTCGCGGAGGACGACTTGCCAGTTGTGGACGAGTCGGCGTGCGCAGCGTTTGTCTCCGACGCGCCGGCCAGCGCGCCGCTAAAACCGTGCGGCGGTCCGGCTGACGGTGGCGCCACCTGCGTCGGCGATCTGCGTATGGCCCTGGACGGCACGGAACTGCGCGCCGGCACCCTGGACTGGTTTACCTTCACCGCCGAGGAGGCTCGTGACCTGGACGTGGATCTGGTGCTCACTGCTGGTGGGTAGCACGGGAACCTGAATGGTCGTGATAACGCCGATGATTGCAGAGATTATTCTTTATGACTGTTCAGTAAAAGGATTCAATAACACTTGATATTTACATTGATGATGATGGTGTCATTATTCTCCCACATTTCGTGCGGTGTCGACGTAACGCCCCCCCCCCCCCCCCCCCCCTCAGAACTGAGCGTCTCGGGTCAACAAGGAGGTGACCTACATCCTGGAGCTGCGCTGTCATGTCTCCACAGCACCGACTCCACCTCACTGCTTCATGTGTGACCTACAACCTGAAGCTGCACCGTCATGTCTCCACAGCACTGACTCCATCTGACTGATTCAAATGTGACCTACAACCCGGAACTACACTGTCATGTCTCCACAGCATTGACTCCATCTGACTGATTCAGATGTGACCTACAACCCAGAACTACACTGTCATGTCTCCACAGCACCGACTCCATCCGACTGGCTTCAGATGTGACCTACAACCCGGAACTGCACGAGCCGCTGGTTCGCACGCTGCGGCTGCTGCTGGATCACGTGCGGCGGCCGCCGGAGGTGCTGATGGCGCTGACCGACCGGAACGAGGGCACCACCGCCCGCCTGATGGCCGAGCTGGGTCAGCGACGCGCCTGGCCGACTCGGCCGCCCGGCGCCGAAAATGGCAGCCGACCGGAAGCAGCCGTGCTTGTGCTGTGGTGGCAATCTATTATATATATATATATATATATATATATATATATATATATATATATATGATACATATTCAACAAATGGAAAAGTTATGTTAGTATTGTAAGGTTGGGAGCAAATAATAACTAATTAGACTATGTTATATATTATATGTGCGGGGTACGTCATGTGTGCAAAAAAAACAACGCGGCAAATGTTTTTATATGGAGAAAAAGTCGTTGTAAGACGGGCGGTGGTGACCAACAGTAAAGCATATCAGAACTTGTGTAAGAGCCGACCACTGCCATCGGGTCGTACATTTCCAGATCAACGGCAGAGTTTGGTGGCGAAGATTTAACGTGCCGCAATGCTCGGCACGGTCCATCGGGCCCTCCGACGCCAGCTAACTTTCAGTGCGGTCACTGTCATTCGTCGCGAGCCGTGCCTGTCAGGATCATTTAAACAAAGGTGGATGGGAATAGCTGCTTGTTTCATTGTTCGATGTGTTGTGTTATTGTTACGGACAATTGTTATTGTTGCGCGTTATTGACGACCAGCTTTTGTCGCCACCAGCTGTTCAAGGCCTGAAGCCGCGGCTGCTGGCCACGCCAGCCAACAATCAGTCCAGCTTCCTCATGGATGAGGTCTCCAAGGTCAAGATCTTCCAGATCAACCCGCATCCCGGATCTGCCGGCCGCCTGACGGACCGGACTGTTGGTCACCACTGTCTGACGGACCGGACTGTCGGTCACCACCGTCCGACCGACGGGACTGCAAGCCACCACTGTCTGATGGACCGGGCTGTTGGTCACCACCATCTGACGGACTGGACTGTTGGTCACCACCGTCTGACGGACCGGACTGTTGGTCGCTGACGGGCCGGATTGTTGGTCACCAGCGTCTAACGGACCGAACTGTTGGTCACCACCATCTGATGGACTGGACTGTTGGTGTTCACTGTCTGATGCCCTGGATTGCTGGTCACCACCATCTAATGGACCGGGCTGTTGGTCACTACTGTCTGACGGACTGCACCGTTGGTCACCATCGCCTGACGCACTGGACTGTTGGTCACCACCGACTGACGGACCGGACCGTTGGTCACCACCGTCTGAAAGACCGGACTTTTGTCCACCACCATCTGACGGACTGGACTGTTGGTGACCACCGTCTGACGGACTGGACTGTTGGGTACCACCGTCTGACAGACTGGACTGTTGGGTACCACCGTCTGACGGACTGGACTGTTGGTCATCACTGTCTGGCGGACCGTTCTGTCGGACAGCATTGTTTGATGGACCAGGCAGTTGATACCATTGCCTAACACACTAGAATGTTGGACGCTGCCATCCGATGCTGTAGGCTGTACGTCAGCGCCCATGCCCCCGGTTCTCTCCAGCTGCTCCGTATGGCCACGTGTTGGCCAGATACCTAGCTGGGCACGCGTTTTGCTCAATGCTGGTGCTTTTATCGTCTTGACTAGCGCAACAATGGTGCGACAGGCTCTTGGCCACGGCATCTCTCGAAGCTGGTGATGTAATCCTTCTCCCCGTCCTCCACAAACAAGGATGCTCTGTCTGATATGTATCAGAAACCTGCAACTAAAACGGTCTTCCCACGATGCGGGCCTCTAGTCCCTGCAGCGATGTGTTACGTGGTGCAATGCGTTAGTTAATTTTCCACTCACTTGTGTGAATGCTATTGAGCGTTGGTGGCGTGTTTGCAATGTATTGCATATTGCTGGTGCTGAGATAATGAAAGACATCACGTGCGTGCGTCTGGAATTTTCATCCTGTGTTGCCCAATAATGAAAAAACTGCATATCAAACAGTTCTTCTGGAATCTGTTGTTTTCATCGCGGTATTACCACAATCGTGATCTACCCCCGAAGGAGAGAAGCACACATGTCAACACAGTTGAGTGACTAGATGATGTTGAAATATGGGCTATGGCACTGGTCACAATTGTCTGCTGGGAGATGATTCACCTCGTGCTGACACACTCATAATGATACGTATTACACACAGGGGGGTTAGTTACATAAAGTTATATACATGTATTTTTGTTATTTGTAAATATTGTTGTTACACATATCGTGCGCCAGCAACAATGACCTTCCGTCAAATAGTTAACCTCATAATCACACTCATACATACATCATACTCCCAAATACTTAACCTCATGGGCCGCTAGAACGGCGCAGCGGACAACGGTCACTTGCTCAAACTATTCCGCTCCGCATACGGCTACGCTTGCGCCACTGGAACGGGTACGCCGCGGACATTCGCCTCCTGAGCACGTGCCGTTGCGGTGGCGCTGGCTTTCGCGTCACTGGGGCGGCGCAGCGAACAGTCGCTGTCTGGCGCGTCTTGCTACAGAACGAAGGGAGAACCCGCCGTCGTGAGTCAAGGAAGAAAACATGCTTGCGTCGGCATACTCTAAAAGCGTAAGCCTAGCAGGCTGATAGGACTTGGAAAGACGTGGGATGGTATGGAATTGGGTAGATGGGAGTTGTAGGCCGAACAAGGGGTGGAACCCTCCAGGCGTTTGGGAAAGTTCGACACTGGGCCCGAGTGCCTACAATCAAACACGGTGCCTATGAAAGCCGTGTGGAAAACCATTCACATTAAGTCGTAGTGTGCTCGCCACTTATCTCACGCATTCTTCTCTTGGGTGGGCGATTTGAACACGACTGCGGTTTAAGCCATTTTGTGTGGATTGAGAGCGCCTGTGAGCACTCGCCCAGAGGAGGGCAGACCTGGTTAGATTATTATAACTGCAGTCAGGGAAAAGCAGCTTTCAAAAAGTTTGGAGACAGACCATTTTCAGTTGTAACACGGACAGCTCTGTTGCCGCAACAGAGCGTGGTAAGCGGGCACGAATTTCAAAAGTCGCACAGTTGGGATGGTCGGACATGATGAACGATGGATGGTTACAGTGCAACAGTTCATTCACAGGCGTTAGGTGTCGTAGGGGTTGATAGCTTTCGCAGCTTGGCAATATTTAGCGTGCATATTGTCCGATGAAAGGAGACGCGGTCTTGTTCGATGAGCCACTCGCGCCATGCAGATATCATTTCGAGGCAGCAGCGTTTAGTACATGTCCTGAGCCCTGCGTCGTTGGTTGTCATGGAAATACATGTTATGTAACTAACGCGCAAGAAATGTGTCGTTTCAGAAACTGTCCTCGGCAAGGCTAACGACATCCTCAGTCCGGTCGTCAGTCAGCAACTTTTGTCAGTGGCCGTCGGTACAGCAAGTCATTTATCATCTGATTCGCCGTTGTGGTTTCGGAATTTTCTCAATTCTCAATGGGTAACGGCTGAGGACGTGCAGGCCTGCGCTGGAGTCGATTTCGTACGCTGAATGTGGGTGGAAATTGAAAGAGAAGGGCGGGATTTTCAAATGCAGGTTCTTGTATTGCTTGTTATGGCACGGGATTTGCAGTTTGGGTACCTTTCTGCTTAATTGCATAACATTTGGGCATTTGGCTTGGATCATTGTTTTGTAGAAATTAAGTCATCTCATTCATGCTGTTACTAATAATGATAAGCTCCAGTAATTTATGTTGTTCAAGGATCTTTGAGTCTCATTGTAGGAACTAGGGTTTTAAAGATTTTCATGCCTAAAAAACTTGCTCTGGTGACAGCATCCAAGATAGTGATGTTGTTAAAATGTTTCCTATTGGTTTCATTTACTGCAAGATTGTTTCCAGTACCTCCCTGTATACTGAAAGTTGTAAGCTCAACATAGCTTGAACTCTGTCAAAAGTCAGGAGCTGAAGATGTTTCTTTATCGAAGTATGTGTATTATGCACCAGACTTTAGGTGTTCAGTCCACACACTCAGGTGCCTATGCACTGAAATGGTTGCTGTGATATCAGGTGATATGCCATACATGCTCTGCATGACATGTATTCTTGCAGCCTGGTTGGAAGGCTACACACTTAAATGATGTGATAAGAGCTAACATAGGTTGTCTCATATTGGCCTATTCTGATGGCTAAATTGGTAAGAAAGCCTGCCTTCCAATCCACCCACCTATATGGTGGGTGCTCTAACCCACTCAAGTGCCCTTGTCTTTCCTGTCCTAGCAATGATACCCAAAGATAAAATGTTTTGACTTTCATCTAATAATAGGTTCTGGTTTAATTTTATTGTCAAGCAAGTATTAGCTATATTGAAAAAAAACAGTTTTTCTGCTTTTTGGTCCATGTTAGATTTTGTCTCAGAACATGTCAGACTGTTTGAGATCCTTTCCTCCATTTCATATCTGGTGAAGTTCGAAAGCTGTTAAGTAACTTAAGGTAGTTGGTTTGTGGTCCAGATTATTTGCTTTGATTTGTTTAAATATGGAAATTGATGGTAACTGAGCTTAAATGTTAAGAACATTTTTGGCTTTAGACGTAAATGTGATGATGCACATAACAATTAAAACACCAGTGTTATCTGTGTTTCTCTTGTCAAAATTTATCCTGCACCAAGTGTTTGATCAACAATCTGTCCATCATTCACTCAGTTTGCTGGTATTTTTATGCTCCATGACCACATCATGGCATGATATTTTCCAGATTTATATCTTTTATCATAAGTGATCCTGTTATGATGTAGTCATGGCTGAGAAGAAGATCAGGAAGAGAGGTGAGTAACATAGAGGAGTATTTTATCTTCTGTTCACCATGAATCCAAGCAATTACTAGCAGTTGCCTTCCCAGTGGTCCAGCAGTCAGAATGTTGGTGCTGTTGTATTGGCAAGTGACTTGCGTCATTGGGGCCATGCACAGTGTCACCTGGTTTCATTACCTGTTTAAGTTTCTCACATTAAAACGTAGTCAACCAAGCAACGTTTTTCCGCACAATGGTGTGGTGTGCTTTATATTTTTTGGAAGCATTGGCAAACCTGTCATTGGCACCTACCATAACCAGTGACACCAATCCAGTCATGCCTTCACATGTGACAATGCACATGATGTCTGAGGGAATACTTGACTGCTGAAATAAAATAACACCAGGCTTGGGTGATTGCAAATGCTCATCCCATTACTGCCTTTTCCAAAACAGTTGTGGTAGGTAAGCATAGGTAGGAAATGTAATATGGTGGACTATCACATACCTTCCCTTTGGAATTATGTGTGGCTTTTAGAAATTAGCCACCTATGTCAGCAGGCATCAGACACAGACCATGTTACATTTTCTATGTTTGAAGTATCAATAATTATCCATACCCAGTTTCATCGCCCAGTTTTCATTGCCCATGCTGGTCCTCAGGGATACTGTACTTTGCTCCTCTGGTCTTAAGAAAATTAAGAGATCCCAGTTACGAAACACGGCACTGACACTCGTGCGTGCCTCCTAAGATTGCGTCAAGCTCTCCAACAAGATCATCGAACGTTGCGAGTTGCCGATCCCCCGCTTCCACCAGCATCGATGGCATCCGCTCCAACCTGTTCACCAGCCTGCTGCAGGTGCTCTACCATCGGGTACCCGAAGGTGAGGCTCACAACCCGCACGACTCCTTGTTTGCAGGCTGCGCGGCTATCTCGAGTCATGGCTCCTAAGCTCATGTGTACGGGATATTCTACATCCTCTTGCGTGATCCGAAGGACGCACGCTGTAAACAGGGCGGTTGAATAAGGAAAGCTAAGGTCTGTACCAACACGCTCACGTCGGTATTCGGGGCAGCTGTCTGTGCTCAGTAGCTGAAGTGAAGCGCCATGCCACTCTGGTGCGGGCATGCATGGCCGATACGTATGCAGGTGTGCATGATACATCGCTCGGTCTTCTAATAGTGAGCGCTACCGGGTACGAACGGGGTTTTAATGCATCGGGATGTTCCACCTCAGGTACATCACTGCTCGCCGCCACTGCCATCTAGCAGTGACAGGTGTGATTGGCCCGTCGACCGTGGCGCCATCTGTTGCCGGCAAGCAGGACTGCTGACGTAATCACGTCAATGCGTGTTTGCCGTGCGCCGTCCGACCGTGCTGACCGCGTCCCTGACCCGCCAGGCATCATCGAGACGCCGACCAACACCGAGGAGGAGGTGGCCAACGTGCAGGCGATCATCAACCACCTGGCGCTCGACCTGATCCACATCGATCTCTCGCACATCTCGGGCGCCGACGTCATCGCTGGCGATCCGCGCGCCATCTATAACCTGCTGGAGATCTTCTGCGGCCTGCACAAGTACCTCAGCTCCACGTCCATCGGTGGGTGGCGGCGAGTCGTGCCGGGCCCTGCCCTTATGTGGGGAAACAGACGACTAGTCAGACAGTGTCCTTCGGTGAAGTTGTGGTGGACTGTTTTGTTTTTATTGGCTGGATACTTGTGTAGAAGGCTTTAGTTGGCTCTTGTTAGCTCGTATGAGGTTAGCCAAGTGCATGTTGATGAATTTCTCTGCTTTAACTAAGTAAGTGTTAGCGAGCTCCAGCAAGATCGCTGTATAGATCTGACATGGCGTTCTTAAGGCCGTGACCTGCTAACTGAGCTAACGCTTCCAGTCAGCTAGCTGACCTTCCCAGTTAGCCAGCTTACCTTCCTAGTTAGCTAACCTTCCCAGTCAGCTCAGTTTGGTAGAAAAACTGGACTCGGGCTGAGAAATCCCTGGCTTGAACCCGAGCAATTCCAAGGGGAGAGTTGGGATTGTGACGCCTGACGGAAAGCCAAACAACATCCAGTCCTTTAAGGGCTCTGTGACACACGGCGATGGCCGGAGAGGTACTGGCCGAAACGTTGTGAACCGACAGGCCAGACGAGGACAATAGTCCGAGCATGTAGTCCATCCGTGATATTGATGCCTCGTCCTAATCCTTCCATTAAGCTGTAACGCTGTTGTCTCACGCACTGGTATGCATCAGCTTGTTTTTAAGGTGGCAGTGACTGGCGCTGTCCTAAGTATTTGCCAACTGGCTGTGGGAGATCCTTACAGGAGCTTGCCAGTCTTCACCTCCATGGACATGGCGCCTTGTCGGGAAAATGCCAGGGTACATTGACGGTATCAGTCGTCTGCGTGCTGATATCCCCGGGGAACAGTTCTTCTGGGAGGCTTTACGTCTCACCGACTGCGAGGGCTATTTCGAGACGGATGCCTTTTTACCACCGTATTCCGCATTACGCGGAACGCGCAGGTGGCGTGGCAGGGGCTCGGACTGGAGACGACGAGAGGGTCAGGGCCCAGCATCTTAACGACTTTTTAACAATATTTGATCCGAAGTCTTTGAGCGGATGGATTTCCGGGATCAGAGCTCAAACTGAACAGGCTGGTGTGGGCCCCCGGCTCCCGCCATCCGACCGCGCGATTCCAGGTCAAGGACAGAGTTGGGTGGCGAAAGTTTAACGTTCCGCAATGCTCGGCACGGTGCGTCCTGCCCTTGGACGTCAACTGACCTTTAGCACGAGCGCTGCCACCGACCGCAGGGCCGTTTCTGTCGGGGTCAAATAGCGAACACCGAAAACGACCCAACCAACCCGCCCGCCACTGGTGGGTAGATCGGGAGGCAGCCGCTCTAGCCACGTGAGCGATCGAGATGATCACCATACCGCAACAGCCCTGTGGTACTTGTAGGCACTTTATTTAGCTAACTAAGCGCTAGCTAGGGGGGTACCTTCTCTGCTCTTAGCTCCTGCAGTCCCAAGGTATAGATCTTATGTAATAATTTCACTGATCTCTTCCTGTTCGAGAAGACGATCCATGAGTTGGAGATCAGCGATCAGAAGCGCCAGTGAAGGATCGGCGGCCCAGTAGCGCTGACTGGTGCCGCGCGCTGTTGTCGCCCAGGACAATGGAACCTGGAGGAGACGCTGACGGAGACGGACAACGAGCTGAGCAGTGGCGCCCTCCTCCGACGAGGTGACTACCGACGCCGGCCAGGAGGAGCTCTCAGAGCTGGAGGAGCCATCAGAGCAGGTCAGTCGGAGCTGGAGGAGCCATCAGAGCGGGCCAGTCAGAACTGGAGCAGCCATCAGAGCAGGTCAGGGAGAGAGGGAGAAAGGGACTGACTGATTTAATCAGGTTCCACGCCGGGCTGCACCTGGTCTGTGTAAGCGCTCTGGCATGTAATGGTATGTCTGGCATACAGGCGCTCCTCCACGTCCAGCCCACGTGCGGAACGGAGGACGGTGAGCGAGTTGTCCTGATGACGTAACGGCACTAACCCCCTCGTATGACCCTTTTGTGCTCTGCTATTGCTGCTAGCATTGTCACATTCTTGTCAGTGAACGGATGTCCCTGGTGCGAAGCCGGCTTTGGTCCACTCGCAAGAGACACTCTTTAGTGTTATGATTAAGTTGTGCTGCTTGGACGTTTTTAGATTTATTTTGTTCGTAGCAAGATACATGTAGTACCCTCTCCGTTATCAAACTACGCACTCTGCTGAACGTAGCCGCGAAGCAGTCGAGAAAATGCAGGCAATAATGATGTGCTTTTGGTGGTGGAATGTAGCAGCGGAGGCTAGTACGTGAAGTTATTTGCCAAGCTCACACATTCAAAGGGGCCTCTTAAGCCACTACCGGCAAGCCTGGGCTGACGGGTGCCTTTGTGTTGCAGGAGAGTGAGGACCAGCCGCCTCCCTCTGAGGACGGTCTGCCTCCCTCTGAGGACGATCCTCCTCCCTCTGAGGACGCTCCTCCTGCTGGGGAGGACGCCGCGGATCTGGCCGGACTTGATGAAGAGGAGGAGGGCGAGGAGCCAGTCGTGTCACTGTAAGCGTGCGGGGTCGTTTCGGGGTGGGGCGGGGAGGGGTCGGGCCAAGGGGAGGGGGCGGCGCGTGACCTGACCGCAGCCCATGCGGTGAGAGGGAGCCTGACTTCCTCCGCCGTCCCTCAGCTCAATCGAGCGTTCAGCGCACTTCAGGCTTCTCACAATCGCATACGGCAACTATGTAACGATGTGCGGATCGGTTATGCACTACGCAGGTTAGCTGGTTGGTATCGGGCTCGTGGACCAAGGTGTGATGGGATGATCTCAGTAGTCAGGTAATGCTGTGGGGTAGGTGGAAGGGTCGGGCATGCGGGGAATCAGGCTCATCGAAATGCAAGTTATCAGTACCTGCCTCTGTGTAGGTTGTGCTTTTCCCGCCAGCCTTTCGGTGACATCAGTCATCTTCAAGCTACTCTGGTGGGTTAAGCTGAAGTGGTGCAGTGTGCAGGGAGTTGCCAGGGGAAGGGGAGGACATGGATTGTTGACTATGAACCTTGGTCCAGGTTCCTCGTAGGTGGTCACGGACTGCAGGGCCATGGAATTCATGAGCAGAGAGGTTTACACTAGATCTGGGGACTATTGCGGGAACTCTGTCCAAACTCGCCAGTGTTCGGAGAAAATTACCCTCCCGGGAGGAAAGTTGTAGCTTTTTGCCTGTTAGTGCGAAAATTTGTGATAGCAGCCTCGACGGGGAAGCTACGGTACTTTGGACGAAGTTCTTACAAAAGTCGTTCATTTTTTGTTCACCTGCTGCCAGTCCCGACCGCCTATGGTCGCGAGGTGCGGTCCGATCCCGGCCGTCTCTTGTGGTGAGATGCGGTCCTACCCCGGCCATCTCCAGTGGCCAGGTGCGGCCGCGACTACCGTTATGAATGACTTTTCTGGAACCGATGACTGGGACTTGCGGTCATTCAGAATGATTCAAATCTATTCAAATCTTGGGAACTCTCAAGTCTTAAGACCGACGATTGGAACCCTGAACAGCAAGATTCGAATCCTGAAACGTGCACGAACTCCTGAAACCCCCATTTGGGTGTACAGGCAAATACGGTAAGTATAACCCGGGCTGCAATGTTGAAAGGTCAGTTAAACACACCTTGTAGATAGCGGTGCCGCATCGGGCTGAACAGCCCGAATTAAAAGTAGGAGTTTTAGTAGGAGTGGTGGGTTATATTTATTCGAATTTCGAATTAGAATCCGAATCCATATCCATGGACCGCACTATTGGAGTCGCAACAGGCTGCGAATACTCGGCTCTAAGTGTCGGCATTGGGGGTTAAGCCACCACCAGTATTGCGATTTGTTGGGGGTAACCTGGACACACCGCCCTTAGATCACATCTTACAGCGTATAAGTGAGAATAGCTTTATTTCATAGAGAGTTTGATGCTTTATTGTCGCTGAATATGACGAACCTGTGAAAGCAAGCACAATCGTGCATATTTCGATTATTGTATCACCGCTGCATACGAAGAGTCGGTGAAAGCAAGGAGCACTGGTTAGTGCTACCGCGCAAGTTAAGAAGACCCACGCTGTGGTCTCGCTCTATGGAGCTGGTCCTTGGTAGCAGGGCGGGCGCGGTGACAGTTGCCGCCGCCGCTGGGGCCTGCCGTCGCCCCTGCCGAGGCTGCCGGGGCAGGCCTGCCGTCGGCGCGCCCTGACTGCGCCCCTGCCGAGGCTGCCGGCGCGGGCCTGCCGCCGGCACGCCCTGACTGCGCCCCTGCCGAGGGTGCCGGGGCAGGCCTGCCGCCGGCGCGCCCTGACTGCGCCCCTGCCGGGGGCAGAGCGGCCGGCCGGTTGCCCGGGGCCAAGTTCGGGTTCCACCGCCGCTCAGTCGGCCCCGACCGGTATGAGCTGCCGGGCCGGAGCGGGCCCCGGTGTTGGACCCGGCCGCCGGGCGCTATCGGCCTGGCCCCGCACGCCGAACTGGCAAAAGCACCGCACCGACTTGTCCTGGCTCGTATTTGTATGATAGCTGACACAGAGCGGGTGTCGTTCGTCGGCGAATGGTTAGTGCGGCAGCCCGCAGGCAGTGTCCGTCGAAGTGGAGCTGGCTAGTGGACAGAGTGGTGACCGTGGCCGCCGGCGGGGCGCGCACCTGCGCGCGGTCGGAGCCAGGACGGCCGGAGCCGGGACGGCCGGGGCCGGGACGGCTGGAGCCGGGACGGACGGAGCTGGGACGGCCGGAGCGGGACGGCCGGAGCCGGGACGGACGGAGCTGGGACGGCCGGAGCCGGGACGGCCGCAGCCGGGACGGCCGGAGGAGCCGCAACAGCCGGAGCTGGTACGGTCGGAGCTGGTACGCTCGGAGCTGGGACGGCCGGAGTGGGGACGGCCGGAGCTGGGACGGCCGGGGCTGGGACGGCCGGGGCTGGGTCGGCCGGGGCTGGGACGGCCGGGGCTGGGACGGCCAGAGCTGAGACGGCCGGGACCGGAACGGCCGGAGCCGGGACGGCCGGAGCCAGGACGGCCGGAGCCGGGACGGCCAGAGCTGGGACGGCCAGAGCTGGGACGGCCAGAGCTGGGACGGCCGGGCCGGGACGGCCAGAGCCGGGACGGCCGGAGCCGGGACGGCCGGAGCTGGGACGGCCGGAGCCGGGACGGCCAGAGCTGGGACGGCCGGAGCCGGGACGGCCGGAGCTGGGACGGCCGGAGCCGGGACGGCCAGAGCTGGGACGGCCGAAGCCTGGCATGGGTTCCTGTCGGGAGGGCAGGGCCTGCTCACAATCGGCCTCGGAAGTCGCCGTGTCAGTTTTTGTGCCACTACGTCATGTAAGTAGGAGAAGCTAGTGCTAATTGACAAAGACGTTCAACAATATCGTAATGTAAGCATTAGTCATTCCCCAGGTACTCTGAATGTAATTTAGTGATCAAATGTACCTCTTGTGTCTAAAGACTTCTATACAAGTTTACTGGGTGTTTATAACCGTGCCGTTCCACCGTTCAGTAGAAAGTTTCCACATCTGCTCAGAGGCGGTAACGGCCCTGCCGACATGGCCCTGTCGGTGGACGAGGAGTCCGATGTTTGACCTATCACTGTCTCAACCCAGATGTATTTCACCAATCGTGATACCATGTCTGTGTAGATGTTATCCCGGTGGTGAGGCGGGGGTCAGGGAACGGCAGCTGGATAGCACAAGGTGAGCATTTGTTATCTCGCGACTAAGCAGCGCCTTGACTCAAATCTGACATGTTAACCGCTGCGCGTCTGGGAAACCAGAGGAAACCAGAGTTCGACTCCCGCGGTGCCCGCCCTTCCTGCCAGGGTGAGAGGCAGGCGACGCCATATAGCCTCAGCACTCAGTGCGTCGTAAAACCCCAATGACACACACAGATCTGACACGGTATCTTATTCACGACTGAAAAACCAACAGCGCTTGCAGCGCTGTCATCATCGTCTTCCCTGTGCCGCCAGATCCCGTCAGCTGTCAGCGGCGGCCCGTGCGTCGGGCAGCGGCGCCGGCGTGCGCGCCTCGACCAGCGCCTCGGCGGCCGGCGCCGTCCCGTCCGACGGCGCCGGTGTGGCGCGCGTGCGCTCCAGCGCCGCCTCGCTGGGCGGCGCGCCCGCCGCCGCCAGCTCCGGCGTCGTGAGGGTGCCCTCCTCCGGATCGGCGGCGGGAGTGCCTTCCAGTGGATCGGTGCCAAGAGTGCCATCCAGTGGATCGGCGGCGAGAGTGCCTTCCAGTGGATCGGCAGCGAGAGTGCCTTCCAGCGGATCAGCGGGAAGAGTGCCATCCAGTGACGCGGGAGTGGACAGAGTACCTTCCAGCGGTTCGGCTGCAAGAGTTCCGTCCAGTGGATCAGGGGTGGAGAGAATGCCATCCGTTAGCTCTGGGGCGGTTAAAGTACCTTCCAGTGGATCAGCCGCCAGAGTGCCTTCGGGTGGATCCGGAGTGGACAAAGTTCCGTCCAGCGGTTCGGCTGCGAGAGTGCCTTCTAGCGGATCAGGGGTGGCTAGAGTGCCCTCCAGCGGGTCAGCAGCAGCGAGGGTCCCCTCCAGTGGCTCTGGGGTGGCCAGGGTGCCCTCAAGCGGCTCTGGAGTGGACAGGGTGCCTTCTCAGCGGCTCGGGAGTGGGCAGGGTGCCTCCAGCGGCTCGGGCGTGGGCAGGGTTCCCCTCCAGCGGCTCGGGAGTGGGCAAGGTTCCCTCCAGCGGCTCTGGAGTGGGCAGGGTGCCCTCCAGCGGCTCAGGGGTGGGCAGGGTTCCCCTCCAGCGGCTCGGGAGTGGGCAGGGTGCCCTCCAGCGCTCTGGAGTGGGCAGGGTACCTTCCAGCGGCTCTGGAGTGGGCAGGGTGCCCTCCAGTGGCTCGGGGGTGGGCAGGGTGCCCTCCAGCGGCTCTGGAGTGGGCAAGGTACCTTCCAGCGGCTCGGGAGTTGGGCAGGGTGCCCTCCAGCGGCTCTGGGGTGGGCAGGGTGCCCTCCCAGCGGCTCGGGAGTGGGCAGGGTGCCCTCCAGCGGCTCGGGAGTGGGCAAGGTCGGCTCGGCTGGCGCGGCCTCCTTGAAGCAGACGTCGAGCGGCTCCGGTCCCGATGCCGGCCAGCTCGGCCACCTCGGCCGGCGCCGAGGCTGAGGCGTCCCTGCTGCCCAGTAGCGAGTCGGGCCCGGCCGCCGCCGCGCGCTCCTCCAGCGGGCGGGTGGGGCGCCGCCGGCGCCGCCGGCAGCAGCGGCTCGGGCGCCGTGCGCGCCGGCTCCAGCCACGCCAGCGCCAAGGCCTCCCGTTCTGGGGACGTCGGCGCGGACAGTAAGTGCAGCCGGCTGGCGACCGGCCAGCGAGAGGCTATCTGCTGCTCGACTGGAGGCTTGAGCTGCGACGGGGGCTCTTTTGGTCGTGGATTCCAATCATTTTCGGGTTTGGGACGTTGTTGCGTTGTAAAGGTGTTCTGTATTTGTGGTTTGGTTGCCACTTATGGGGCAGAATCCGTAATCGAGGCACGCGCCTGAACTGCGGATTGTGTGCTGTTGTTTTATCTTTTACAAACTATGTGATAGCTCGTTGCCTTCCCTACTGCACGTAGAGTTGCTGCACGTAGTTAACGTACACTGTAACCTCTCAGGCCCATTGACTTAGATGACGCGTTACGGAGCGGGATCGGGGTGGCGATAGCGTAGTGATTAACGCGTCTGCGTTAACCACCGCGCGTCTGAGCAGCCAGAGGTACGGGGTTCGATACCCTGCGTTGTCCGCCCTTCCCGCCAGGGTAAGAGGCAGGCAACGTCATGTAGCCTCAGCAGCTGAGTGCGTCTGAAAGCCCCATTAACGACGGATCGCGGCACGCGTAGCTCCAGATTTCCGAGCGCAGAGGCCTGTTCTCTGCCGGCACTGGGACGACCGGTGTCGACAGGCGTGTGATCCCCGCAGTGGCCGAGTCGGAGTCGTCGGGGGCCGTCGGCTCGCCGCTGCGCGCGCCGTCTGGCCCTGGTGGCGAGTTCGCCAACCTGGGGCGCGCCTCAGCCGCGCGGCCCAGCCTGGTGGCGGCGCGGCCCAGCGCCAGCGGTGGCGGCGTCCGCGTCACCGGCAGCATCGACCACCACCACTACCACCACTACGAGGACGGCGGCGAGGGCGAGGACGAGTACGAGTATGAGGACGAGTACGAGGACGAGGGTGAACTGGAGGACGACGACGAGGGCACGGAGGTACGTCGGCGCCTGTTGGGAAGCTATGGCAATGGCTGTTGGTTCTGGCTGGGGTAGGTATGAGTCACGGGCTCTGTGGTGGTGGTAGTGGTGGTGGCGGCGGCCGTACATCACTGCACGATGAAGGTAGGATAAGTGGCAGTTCGCGCTGGGTATCCGTGTGTGCATAGCGTCGGCTTCGGGTGCTGGTGTGACTGTCTTACCGGGCTGTCCGAACGTCATGGTGACGGCGGGATGGCTTTCGCATGTCGGTTGCAGCTGTTTACCAGGTGGGAAGCAAAGCTCCACCCTGTTGCACGTGTGGCGTCAGGCACCGGCTTCATTGTCAGTTCACACCGGTGGTGGTAATCGCTTCCTCGACCGTAGACAGCCGCCCAGCGTGGGACGGGGTCGGGGCGCAACGTCTGCCGGCGCGGCGGCCGCCCGGCCGGTCCGGCGCCGCGGCGGACGGGAGGCGGTGCTGGAGGCGGTCCTGAGGCGAGACGCGTCCCCAGATGACGGACGAGCCGCCCGCCGCCGGCGGACGCTACTACGGGGACGAGCACGAGGACGAGCAGGATGAGCAGGAGACGAGCGAGCAGACGACACAGGAGGAGGTCGGTCGGCTCGCCTGCCGCCCAGGCCCGCGTCCGCCGCCGGACGGACGCCCGTGGAAAGCTCGGTCTGCCCGCGAACTCTGCTTAGTTGGTGGCAGACTTCGTGAGAGTTTATCTCTGCACAGAGGGAAGGAAACTGCCCTGTCATTATGATCACCCTTTGTCCGTCCTGATAATCTGTGGCCCACAAGTCAAATATTTGTGAATTCAAATGCATCCCGCATTGTTCCTCGCCATGTCCCGATCCTGGCAGGGAAGCGGGGAGCCGTGTTGCCTTCGCTACCGCCTGTCTCTCATCCCCTGCTCGCCGGCCGCGTCTCACGATCGTCACCCTTAACCCCCGCTGTGCCGGGTGCCGGCTGCCGGTGGGACGGGCGGGCGTAGCGTGCCGGGACAGGTTGGCCAGAGACCGGGCGGTGGCGGCCGACAGACGATGCAGAGCCTGACGGCCGAGGAGGACGCGGCCACCGGCAGCCTGGCTGACACCGAACAACGAGGACCGAGGACACCGGCCAGGAGGACCTGAGTCGGGAGGACTACCGGGGCGACGAGGACAGCCAGGAGTGCGAGTCGGACGAGGAGGAGGAGGAGGATTGAGGACGACGAGGAGGAGGAGACGCCGGGGTGGACATCAGCCGTCAGCTGAGTGAAGAGCTGCAGCAAGCGCGCGAGTCGGCTGGCGTTCTTTCGCCGGTGGCTAGCGGCGCCAAGGTGGGACGCGCCGGCAGCCAGCGGTGCCAAGGTGGGACGCGCCGGCGGCCAGAGGCGCGCGGCGCTCGGCCCTGCCGCGGCGGGGAGCTGAGCGGCGGCGCTCGCCTGCCGACTGACAGCCGTCCGCACATGATGTCCACCGACAGGCGGTCCCAGTATGTGCGCCGCTCCCGTGGTGTTGTGGCCAACGTCGTGGCCATGAGATTTAAATGCTGCAGCGATAGATCTTCTCGTCAGAGTTATTTATTTAGGAACGATTATAGCATAGATTCGAGTAATGGTTCAAATGGCAAATTGCTTGGTACGACGCACGAACAAATAGAACAGTTAATTCACCGTACAAGTGCGAATGCGTTTGCTACGTTACTTGATTGATGGCTGTCCGCAGGTAATGTTGCGCATTTTAGCTTTGATGACCTTTGCCAGTCTCTCCTGGTTACTCTATGGCCGCGCATAGCAAAACCCCTCCCCAAGCTACGCTGTGTGAAGAGGACGTCCATATGGTCCGTATGAAGCTAAAAATGCGAAACTAATCACGCGCGTGTTGTAGCGTAAGACGAAAAGAAGGCATTTGGTTTTGAGGTTTGGAATTAAAAAAGAAGATCTTTGCCCGGTCTGTACTCACGCCCGAGGCAATGTTCGCTGTCCAGCCTCTCTCCTCCTCACTGCTCTGCCTCAGCTTTGCTCCTCCCCCTCGCGCCTCTAAATGCAACGTAACCCACTTGACGACCCCTGGTATATTTATGGCTTTATCAGGTGTTTTGCTGCTTAACTGATCAGTTGCGGAACTGATGCGAAGGTTTAAGCGCGGCCCGCTTTCAGAAGTGCTGTCGACCTTGCTGTGCTGTAAGGCCTTGTAACGTTATGGAATGTGCATTTGTGTGGAGCTAAACGGGTGAGGATCGGAAAACGCTTGTGGACGGCGTCCAGGGTTACAAACCTGGCCCTCTAGAATTCGTAGAACACAGAATATTCACGCCGTTAGTATAAGTAAGAAAGGCCTTTAGCTCCTCTTTTCAGCATTATGAATTCATATTTCCCATGCTGACTTATCAACCTCCCATAAGGTATCAAGAGGCACTGATTAAATGAATTCACTAATTATGGTGTCTTAAAGGTCGACAGCTCGGCTTAAAAATTCTGAACGTATAGCACTCGGGCGCGGTCGGGTTGGTTACAATTGTTGGCCGCAGCTGACCGTTCGTACATTATCGATCCCATGTACACATCAATCCCGTTCGTACATATTGATCGATCCCATTATCGTAAGTTGTTCAGTGCATTTGCAGGGAACGTGCACATAAATGAGACGGTAGTAATAACCTGTTGTGCCGAGAAACGCGGCTATATGTCTATTCTCCTGGTTTTCCTTCGAGGAATAAGGTTATTGGTACTGTCTGATCCCCTGGTCGGATGGATCCGCGATGAAAAACGCACGTAAACGGGCACTTTATTTCTAGAAAAAAATTTTGCCTCATTGACCCAGCTTAAGATTCACGGGAGGTTTCACTTGGGAGTGGTGTGGGTGGATCCGCTTCGTTGGGAATTATTTTTTGGTGCAGCCACGGCACTTGCTTCACAAATCTGGGAGGAGGCTGTTTGTCCTGTATCATTGGGAGGCCTGTCGCTTTTTCGCGAGGGTTCTTCGGCTGACGTTGCTGCGTTCCTGTCAGTTCATTGTGTGTGCCTGTCCTTTCATGCTGATGTGAGTATCCAACTGCTGAGGTGGTGAGCAAGTCAATCGCATGCTTAAGCAACATTTCTGCGTCGCTAGTACATCACCATGACATTGGTCCTAGGTGTTATACCCGTCTGCTTGGTATCGGCCCGGAGAACGTGCTGCGCAGCCCTTGCTCAACTTTTCACGGTATACTAACGTACCTCCGTTAGGGAGGGATATACGTACACAATGTCCGCGTGTGGGACGCTCATTTTCTTCAGCCTTTTGCGTTTTTACGTGTTTGCTACTCTATCTGTTCCTTATGCCTCTTTTGTTGTGTTCCACTTTCTTGCCTTTTTGCATTAGTTGAAAGAAAATCGCTATCGTAATAATACAAATTAATTATCTTTCAATTGTAATTAATCTCATCAATATCCTTTGTGACACGACTGTTTGGTAAGTTGTGCGTGTGCCGAAATGAGGTTTCTTAGATGCAAAGTAAATGTGAAACCAGTGCTTTTGTGTACGCAAGCAGTGATGTATGTGATGACCCTCGTGACCGAAAACCTTTTCCCTCTCAATCCAGATGAGCCGTCCCAGCGCCACTAAGAGAGAAAGCTTTTTATCGAGACAGTTGGATTCAACGGTATGTGTCCCGACGTAGTGTCATGGCCAGACATAGTCCGGCTATGTATGTCGAAAGAAATTTATTAATGTGTTTCGGAATAAGTGGCATGGCCAGACGTGGCCCCGCCATGTGATTTAGAGAAAGGATGCAACTTGACTCAGTTTGAGGTTGGACTGTCCACGCCGGTGTTCCAAAGCCCGAACTGTCCAGATAGCGAATATATTCCTGTAGATAAAAATGCCCACCCGTGGAGAAAATCTGTTACAAAGCTACCAAACTACAGTTTTCGCGGAGCGGTGAACTGCTAGACCCGCGAAATATAAGCAGACAGCATACGCCGCAGCGGCTGCGCGACGGGGTTGCCTCGTAGTGGTATAGGTCTTGTCAACCCCAAGCTCGAGAAGCAACTATGCTTGGCAAGGTGAGCGAATGGTTCATACTACATGGTCATACTATGTGTATGGTCATTGGTATGGACATGGTCATAAGTCCGTATAAGTGCACGGCTCTGGTCAGGTTGCCACCACCGGACCCGCACACCGAGTCGGAGTTTAAGTGTTCACCGGAATGGAGGGCCGGAATGAACACAAAAGTGTTCATTCCGGCCTATCACGGCCTTCGCACTGATCGTAATGAGTAATGACGAGAGTAGACACACAGCAGGCGCAGAGACACAGCACGTGGCGCGGAGACGCCGCACGTGGCGACTCCTAAATGACTCGTGAAAAGCAAGCCCGCAATGGGCAGGGATGTCGTTTAGCAACACGAGTTGGGTAGGGTGGGCTGACCAGTGAGAAATGACCACACCTACGCTCTAAATAAGCGAGAGATGAATGTATCCGTGGCTCTAGCTCACCTCTCAGATTTCGGGAGCTGGAGCTGGAATTGGGAAGGGGGGGGGGGCTGACCCCCAATGCCCCCGTCCTCCCATCCTCCGTTCTTTATGTTTACCATCGGGTGCAGTATGTGCTTGCTGCCATATTAGATGTTGTCCAGAGGTGCGGTGGTTAATGTTTTCTGCTCCATTCTCCCACCGCCCGCTCCCCCGGGTCATTTCATGCCCTGCGATGCAATTGCACTGTCCTGCCCTACCCCAAACCCAGCCCCAGCCCCAGCCCCAGGCCTAGCCATAGACTCAGCCCTAGCCGCAGCCCTAGACCTAGCCTATTCCTAACCCTAGCCCTAGCCGCAGCCCTGGCTCTAGCCCTAGTCGCAGCCCTAGCCCTAGCCCTAGCCCTAGCCTAGCCCTAGCCCTAGCCCTAAGCCCTAGCCTAGCCCTAGCCTAGCCTAGCCTAGCCTGCCTAGCCCAGCCCAGCCCAGCCCAGCCCAGCCCAGCCCAGCCCAGCCCCAGCCCAACCCTGCCCAGCCCTGTAGTTGTGTACTTCCTAATACCTAGGCGTTGATCACATTACGTATGCGACCGGCAGTGGTGTAGCCAGGGGGATTTGTGGATGCTGCTTCCGCCCCCCCCCCCCTCTCTGAAGATGACATGGGTTTCCTTGGGCCGAAGGTCGCGCTGCTTTTGAAATGAGAACGCCAGCAAGGTTTTTAAAAAACATTAAACACTGCTCCTGCCCGTATCAAAATGGGATACCAAGGCTGGAAGGTTACCGTATCCAAACAGCGCTGCTATCAGGGGCGACGCAATGGGGGAGTAGAGGGGGCAGTTGCCCCCCCCCCCCCCACTTACTTGCTGGCAGGGGGCAATAGTATTTTGTGGCCCCTCAAAAATTTTTAGGAGACCCCTTTTCCCCAACCAAAGGTAGGTAGCGTCCCGTGGGTAATCAAAAGGAGGTTCAAGGAGGCCCCTTTAACTGAGCCAGATAATAATAAATCGAACTTAGATCATTTCTTACAACCGCGATACCGTTTGTCTGGACCATAAGGCCACCTTGTGTATAAAGCGCACCATACTCTAGATTAGAAGGTTCTACGCTATGCCAAGGAAGCCTCTTCGCTGGGTCGGGAGGCCCCGGCTACGACCTAGGAATCCCCTGTTCTATGTTAGGGGTACCCTTTATGTTCAGGAAGCCGTACTTCTGGAACTCACTGAAACTTGAAATGCCATGTTAGGGCCGCGTTTCCCTCTATATTCCCGTTTGAACCCTTCCAGTCTTGGTTTGCTCCCCGCAATATCAGGGATGCAGTTACACACCTATGATCAAGAAAGACAAGGCTCCTCCAAAAACTGTTGACGTACACATGCTGCGCAAAATCGACTGACGTTTATTTCATGGCACTCTGACTCGTTTTGGTTCTGCTCCCCTTTACTGATGTCTTCAGCACTCACGTCTAACAGTTAACATGCAATGCCGCTTCTGTGTTTAATATGGACGTGTTTATTATGTGCGCCAACCCCGTGTTTACAATAGCTGACTAGGTCACATGGAAAACTATTAGAATTTGGCAGCTTTAAAAGCACGTGATCCCTGGAGTGGCGTTTTTTAAGTTTACAGGAATTAACAGGAAAATACTGCTTTTTGTGGCCGGCTATAGTTCGCGATGTTCTTTGCCGTTACGGATAGGCGGCTGGACGTGACCCTTGGCCCCCAGCCCCCTGTGCTGTGCCGCCTCCTCATTCCTCGTGCCAGTATCGTCCCGCTGTGGGTCGGGTCCGAACAAGGTCATAGTCAAGGGGATCGGTGGCTGGGATGGCCCTGAGCCTGGCGTTCTCCGCACATGCCGGTCCAACCTGACCTGCGCCAGCCTGGGCGCTCCCGGACCGTGGACCTGTCATGACCCCGTGACCGGAACTGATTTTAGCCCCGGTTGACCCTGAGCTGACCCGACCGTGACCTCTGCCGCCCCTACCTCACCTGACCCTGACTGGGCCTCGTCTCTGACCTGACCTACACCGTGACCTGACCCAGCTCCAACCCAGCCCGCGCCACACCATAAACCTGACGGTGGCGCCCGCTGGCCGGCAGCGCTCGGGAGCATCATCCTCGATGGCGCGTGACGAGCGGCGAGACGACGCCGGCCGGCGCCGCAGCACGTGGGAGGCGGCGATGGCGCGCGGCAGCCGGCCGCGACCTGAGCGCGCCCCGGCGCCGGCCGTCGCGGTGCCGCTCCGCCAGCGAGCGCAGCACCACCAGCGAGCCGGCGATCGGCCGGCGCGGGGTGTCGCGCGTGCCGCCGCGCAACATCGAGACCATCGCCGAGGTTGGTCCCGGCAGCGGTCCGTGCCGATGTGGTCCGTGGTCTGTCTGAATCTTGTGATTGTCGTGGTCCGTGTGGGCAGAGCGGTCTGTGCTGGTGTGTTCGGTCCGGGCAGCACTCTATGCCAGGGTGGTCTGTGGTCCTGTCTGTGTCTGTGCAGCGGCGGAGGCTGGGCTCGGCGCCGAGTGTTAGCAGGCACAGTCCAGGAGGGCAAGTTACCCAAATATCGGCGACTTCGAAGACTCGCTAAACTGTTGCATATCTATTGCCCTGATGGGATCTATGCACGCGCCCGGGTGACCGGCTGACTGCCATATGCCGGTGGCGGGTCAGTGTGACCTCCGAGTTTTCAAAAGCGAAGAGACTTGATTGCACCAATTCACTGGGTGGGTTGGCCTGTATGGGAACTTATCTGTGTCAACATTTGAGGTTCCTAGGTCATGACCTTCGGATGAAATAATGTTAGAGAAGGGCAAACTTCAGATTGGTGTTTCAAATGATGCATATAAACGCTTAGGTGGTTAGGCGCCTGCGAACTCCAAACGTAGGTGCTTGTTTGAAGCAAAAGGCCATTTGGTTGGCCATCGGTTCTCATTCTAGGTGAGTGGCCTGTTGGACCTTAAGGTCATGGTGGCCGGATACTAGGAGATTGTTTAATTTTGTTTAATTTGAATAAGCGTCAAACATTACGGTGGCATCAAAGATGACGCTGAACTGGGCCATGTCAGGTCAGTGACCTACTCTGACCTGAGGAAGACTATGGATTATGCCTGTCTGTTTAACACGACTGTGCCGCGCCTTTGGGAAAGTACTCTGGAAAAATATTGGGGGTCGAATTGACCCCACCACCACCCAAGCGCGTGCTACGACTTTAACAAAGCATGTCGAAGGGCTGTAGGGGAAGGTACTGGAAGTGCCGCGGCTCTGACTAAACGCGCCGATCTGTCGTCAACCCCCGAAAAGCCGGGAAGGAAGGACTCGTCCGAGTCTTGAGAGCCGCACTCCGCGGCCGGGAACAGATTAAACGGGGGACGGCGACGTGCGCTCGGAAGCGGGCGGTAACCGGCCGCGACCCGGGTCCGCGTGACCAACGCTCCGCCGCTGCGCCCGGTCAGATCCGGGAAACGGGCGAGGAGCGGGCGATCGTGGAGACGACGCGGGAGGAGGCCGGCGACCAGCTGCAGCAGAAGGAGACGGTGCGCCGCGAGGTGCGCAGGAAGGTCTGCAGCGCGCCCCACCCCCGACAGAGTGAGTCAGGCGGAGGAGGGTCAGGCGGGGAAGGTCTGCAGCGCGCCCACCCCCGACAGAGTGAGTCAGGCGGAGGGGGTCAGGCGGAGGAAGGCCTGCAGCGCGCCACCCCCGACAGCGTGAGTGAGGCTGAGGAGGGTCTGCAGCGCGCCCCACCCCCGACAGAGTGAGTGAGGTGGAGGAGGGTCTGCAGCGCCCCACCCCCGACAGAGTGAGTGAGGTGGGGAGGGTCAGCAGCGCGCCCCACCCCCGACAGAGTGAGTGAGGTGGAGGAGGGTCTGCAGCGCGCCCACCCCCGACAGAGTGAGTGAGGCGGAGGAGGGTCTGCAGCGCGCCCCACCCCCGACAGAGTGAGTGAGGTGGAGGAGGGTCCACAGCGCGCCCGAGTCAGGCGGAGGAGGGTCTGCAGCGCGCCCCACCCCCGACAGAGTGAGTGAGGTGGAGGAGGGTCCACAGCGCGCCCGAGTCAGGCGGAGGGGGTCTGCAGCGCGCCCCACCCCCGACAGAGTGAGTGAGGGGAGGAGGGCTCTGCAGCGCGCCCCACCCCCGACAGAGTGAGTGAGGCGGAGGAGGGTCTGCAACGCGCCACCCCCGACAGAGTGAGTCAGGCGGAGGAGGGTCTGCAGCGCCCCCACCCCCGACAGAGTGAGTCAGGCGGAGGAGGGTCTGCAGCGCGCCCCACCCCGACCGGGAGTAAGGCGGAGGAGGGTCTGCAGCACGCTCCACCCCCGACAGAGTGAGTCAGGCGGAGGAGGGTCAGCAGCGCGCCCCACCCCGACAGAGTGAGTCAGGCGGAGGAGGGTCTGCAGCGCGCCCCACCTCCGACAGAGTGAGTCAGGCGGAGGAGGGTCAGCAGCGCGCCCCCACCCCGACAGAGTGAGTCAGGTGGAGGAGGGTCTGCAGCGCGCCCCACCCCGACAGAGTGGGTCAGGCGGAGGAGGGTCTGCAGCGCGCCACCCCCGACAGAGCGAGTCAGGCGGAGGAGGGTCTGCAGCGCGCCCCACCCCCGACAGAGTGGGTCAGGCGGAGGAGGGTCTGCAGCGCCCCCCACCGCGACAGAGCGAGTCGGGCGGACCGGCGCGAGGAGACTCTCTTTAGTCTATTTCTTGTAAACATGCCCGTATGTTGCTGAGTGAACTTTACTATACATGATGGGAATTGTCTTCAGACGTGTTCATGGGTGCTTGAAACGTATACTGAGTACATTTGGGGCCAGGTAGTGGTGTTGCCGCCGCTGCCATGTGTTGCGGTCGGCGCCTCCACGGCGGCCGTCTACAGCCGCGCCGCCATGGCCACTCCCCTGACCGTCCGCCGGCGTTTTTTTTTTTTTGACGTTTCAGTGTCGTACACCAAGCAGAAGTCGCGCCGGTCCGTGTGCAGTGATGGCGTCACCGACTGGCTCGAGTCCGGGGCCGACGACACGTACCTCAAGGTCAGGGCAAAGGTCAGCCGAGCGCCTCCGCCGGTAGAGAATGTGTCGACGATGAGCGTCCTTGTGGAACTTCGTAAGCCGTCAGAAGTTTCTTTTTCTTTCTTCAATTGAATGACTGTTACCCAAGAGTGCACGGAGCAGAATGTAGTTTCGCCTTACACCGGTGCTGAACATCTCATTTGTTCTGAAATCTAAAACCTGACGCGGCCAACGTCAACCGGGGATGGCGTCCTGCGGTCGGCTGGGCGGCGGCACAGCTCGTGGCGCGTCGGGACAGACCCGGCACGGCTGACCCGGCCGGGCGTGTCGTCCAACAGAGGCGGACGTGTTCGACTACCTGCGCCGCGAGTTCCCTACGTGCATCTGTCGGCCGAGACCAAGCGTCGCCTGATGACGCAGTACCGGCACCAGATGAAGTACATCATGAGCCTGGTGGAAGCCCGTCGAGTCGAGGAAGATCAAAGTACGGGTGGGTCTCCGCCGCCGCTCTGCAGGCGGACGTGGTCGCCGCAGCCACCCCATAGGTGTAGCGGTGGTGGTTGCGAGGGCTTGTGACACCTGTCGGTGGCTTGTGATAGGCGTTGGCAGGCGTCAGTAGCCCCAAATCCCAAGTTGTCATCAGATACGTGTGGTTGGGAATGACTTGGGTGCGCCTCCGCTTTCGACAAAACGACCGCTTCCGTGGACCTCGCGTCGGCTCGTTTAAAAGGCTCGCCTGGTTCAACGTTACACATGATTTCTTCGAGGCTACGTTTCTGGCATACCACCGTGGGATACACTCGCCATGTGGTGACGTGTAAGTCGGTCGTTGCACTGCGCCGGCACGGATCCTGTCTCAGTGTCGGCCCCAGGCCCTGCGGTCTGCACGTGCGCGTGCCGGGCGGTCCGGGCCGTCTGCGCGCGTGACAGCGCCGACTCAGCAGCGTACTGACAACGTGCCCCGGCCGACAGCGTAAGGACGTGCTGAAGCGGCAGGCGCTGCTCACCGACATCATGCACCAGCACAAGGCGCACGACCAGCGCTTCCAGCAGATGGCCAACTGCAAACGGCGCGAGGCCAAGATCCGGTGAGCGCCAGGGCGGCGGCGGCCCGGATCGGCACGGCATAGTGCCCAGCAGCAACTACACATATGAGCTCTGTACAGCCGTTTGATCTGATGATGGTTTTGGCCATGGTGAGTAGACGTCGTTGGCGCCACCCCTCAGCTCGTTCGGTGCTCTGCCTCCGAAGACTGCGGCTGACTGGTCTCCGAGCGCCCTTCCGGTGCAAATCGTCAGCTGGCGGGCGTGCAGCGCCGCCATGGCGCCCGCCGTCAACGTTACGTCGTCAGTCTTCATGTTGCCTGGCTTGACGGCGCCGGTCAGCACCGCCGTGCCTGGCTGAGCCGCGTGCGTGCGCCGCCGGCAGGGAACAGCCGCGGGACAGCAAGATTCGGTTGCGGGCGCAGCGGTACGTCAGCCGTTTCCAGCAGCAGTTCCAGTCGGCGATCGGCCTTCAACAAGAGCAAGGAGGAGCTGGTGAGGCGGCCGTCGGGCCGCGCTGAAGGACCGCCTGGGAAGGGTGTGATCAGGCACCGTCACGCCCTTCCGCGAACTCCTTGAGGAGACTGGAGGTTGTGCTTGGCTGAGACAAGGAACTGCCTTTGGCTATGCGTAGAGAGCTGCTTGACTGACAGCTGTATGAAATACTGGCGAGGTGTAGGCTTGTTACGAATTGTGGAGTAGCCTGGGCCCCGTCTGTCTCGCAATGCCCGAGCTGCTGGCCTGGGCCGTGCTGTCTGAATTCCTTCGGTGACATTAATCCGTTCCCATCGTCCGCTGCGTTGTGAGCCACGGTAGACGGATTGGGGTCCGGCGCTGTCGGCCGCACACGCTGTGCCTCACCTTGTCTCTCGCCGTGTCTCGCCTTGCTCTCGCCGGTCTCACCCTGTCTCTCGCCGTGTTCACCTTGTCTCTCGCCGTATCTCACATTGTTCTCCGTGTCGGCAGCTG